GAATCTTAGTCAATGGCCGTGTGACAATGACGGTGCGGCTCCTTCGGTTTACAATCCAGACATGTACGTTAGTTCCTGTTCGTTAGAGGAATCTCTGAAAAAACCCCGTAGCTAAACTTACAGCGGGGTCCAGACATGCCTTAAATAGCTCCAAGCAGTTCTCCATTGTGAGCAGCGAAGTATGCACTTCCATGCGTCTGAACACTAACAAAGAAAAGGGGAAGTGTGTACCACTGTTTGTGTGTGTGTGTGTGTGTGTGTGTGCCATACTCATGCCAATGGATAGAACTGACCACACATTTACGTTCATTAACCGCAGACTTCTTCATTCACTCATTTCAGGGTTCTGCACAAAAAGATGACTAGCAGACACGTGTTTGGCTGCATGGAGCTGCCATTGGAAGTGCAGGGTTAAACCAGGCTGAGTAATGAACTTGTATCAACAGAGTGTGTACAAATGAGTGTTTACAGCTATTTTAAAGCTGCCTTATGGCTCACAGAATAACATAGAAAATAGATAATAATAGTGTAGAGATCTCAAGATGCCAGTGTGCACATTTCCCCGGATATGTCAAACATGAATTATATGTTGTAAAAAGAGGGGATTAACCATGCAGCGTTGAGGGTTTGGAGCCTTAAATGTGATGTATCGCAGAGATTCTCCTCGCAGTTAGCTACACTTCTTTTTCGGTTTACACATCTTGTTAGTGTCCAAATAAATATCTGCCTCCAGCTCTTTTTTTTTTCCTACTGGTAGCATTCCCGATGTCTAGACAAACAAATATGACAGGACTAAGCCCACAGCTCAGAGAGCTTTAGATGTAATTACTAATACCTGTCAAAGTTTGATCGATATTTTACGTTTAAACTGTCTATGGAGAGTTCTACGCAAACGTTTCTGACCAAATCCTCGGCCAAACCACTGGTAGTAAACATCATAGAAACTGGCAGCTTGAGTACTGAAAAAACATTCTAGCCATTCATTATATCATCACCATAGTCGGGGAAGATTTCCAGTCCCTAGAAAGTAATGTATCACACTCTAGAGATTTCCACAAATGAGGAGGAGAACCTGAAGTAAACAAGTGAGTTTGAGCTCTAAATTGAACTGCCTTGTGATGTTTTTTGTTTTTTTATCATGGTGCATGTGTGTATTAGAAATAGCCTTGCTATTTGGAATGAAAACACACAAAAAAGAAGAAAAACAAGATGATCATCAAAATGTGTGTAATTGCCAAAGCAGTATGCCTCTGTTTACAAGACACACACTGCAACTCAATGATCTTTCTTCTGCACAACACACGAGCGAGCGAGGAGCAGGCCTCTCATAAATCTGAGCACAAGACAGAGTCTCTAATGTTCTCCGCAGACATGTTGTGGCTGCTCAGTACGTGCTGTGTCACAGGGCCAAATGTAGTAGCACTGTAAATCATAATCGAACATTTCCAGAGAGGATGTAAAGTGAATGCAGTTTTTTTTTCCGGCTGCTACACGCAAGCCCATTTGGATGTTAATCTTTAATGACAATTTGAAGCAAGTCACTGTTTTGAACAAAGTCAGATTTGAGTCAAACGTCATCTTTGGTGCTATCAAAGAAACACCAGGACACGGGATATTGGACACAAATAAAGAGGGACTTGGAAGCTTTGTGACTTGGTGATTGGGCAATAACTTAGAAGACATTTAAAAATCACAGAATAAAATACACAAATCTTTTGGAAATGACACGCAGCATGTTTTTGTTAGATAGCTCATCTGTGGGGATTTTCTAAGAGGGGAAAATATATAAAAATGAAAATAAAGAACAAACACAGAGTAAGTCAAGCTTTCTCCTGCACTGCAGTTTAGGACACTCTGTGGATTTGAACATCTTAAAGTTATGATTCTTTCTGCGCTGCAAATGAGTCCAACGCTATCTGCTCTGCTACAACTGTGTCTTCTTTTAAAAGCAGACTTAAAACATATCTATTTGTACAAGCTTTTGGCTAAATCATATTAATTGGAGTATATATTGCACTTTAATTAAGAAATTGTATTTCTATTTAAATAGGTATTTATTCCTACTCCTTTTTATTGTGTTGGCATTTCATTTTATGCCTTTATTATTTTATTATTTCTACTTTTTTTTATTTACTTTTTTATTTTTATGCATAAGTATATTGTTACGCATGGTGTATGTTATCATTTATATTGTCTACTGTTAGTTGTTTCTTTTAAGCACATTGAGTCCATGCTTGCCATTTGAAATGTTCTATATAAATAAACTTGACTTGACTTTATGTTGGCAGGTCAGCACAGTCTCATAATGGAGGTTTTTTTCTTTTTTTTTTAAATCTTGACTTCATGTATAGTTTAGACTTTGAATGAAAAAAGGCACAGGTAGAGGAGATAACATTAGTTTAGATACCTCCTTCAGGATCAGGTTTCACATGCTCAATGACCTGATGGCTGTAATGTCTGTCACTGTAGAGATGCTCTGACTATTGTTGACTGACACTGTAGCTAATGATACTTCCCTCTGTAGCACAGAATCCATCAAAGATAAGCCCTCAGACTGCCAATGACACACACCACACCGTGCGGTTTGAGAGTTGTACTACATCTAGTGAGAGCCCGTCCCACTGACAGTGCCAATCAGATGTTCAACTACTTTTTTTCCTACCGCTGGTTGGTATCATAATTCATCTCCTTAAGTATGTGATGCTGCTTTTTCATCTCTGGGCTCACTCGCGCACATTAGCCAAGCCGCAGCTGACGCCACAGAGCTACCGTAGGCAAAGAAAACAGAGCGTACTGTTACTTTCCCCCCTGTGCTGTCTGCTTACGCCTGCCCCACAGCCGCTCTGCCCCCCCCCCCAAAAGGCAGTCTGCTTCTGATTATGTGTGATCATCCTCCAGCCTGCCAGCCACATTTCAGACTCATGGGAGTCCTCCTTTTTCTCTCCAATCTGGCGCCTGTTCAAGATGAATTACACTACTGCCTGTCTAGATGTAGTTTTTTGCACTCATGGCAGCTACCGGCACTGAGATTGTTGCCCTACTTATTTATTTGTAGATTTATTATTATAAATGTATGTGTCTTAATCATATTTGTCATGTTTGTAACACACATTGGTGTGTTGCAAGTGCAAAAAGATATTGAAGGGTTCTCCTCATAAAACTCTTCTATAGCCTCATTAGGTATCTTAATGACATGGATTATTAAACATTAATACTTTCAATTGAAGCACAGTGTGCTTTGCTTTACAATTTAAATAGTCCTGTAATCACTTTGGATGGCAGCATACCAGCATTTAAAGGCCTTGTAAATGGTAAATGGACTTGAGCTTGTAGCGCTTTTCTAGTCTTCTGACTACTCAAAGTGCTTTTACACTGCAGGTCACACCTACACATCCACATCCATCCACACACTGATGACAGAGGCTGCTATGTAAAGTGACCATCAGAATTCATACACATGCACACGCCGCCGACGAAGCGAGGGGAGTAACTTGGGCTTGGGGACATGTTGCTGCAGGAGTGAACCCCCGACCTTCCAGTTGAGAGACGACCGACTCTACCAACTGAGCCCAAAAGCCCATATTCAATATTCTATAAGGTTCCAGCCATATCTGCCTATTTCATATCAACAGCATGTCAGGTTATGATAACAAATATCCAAATCTCAAATAATAGGAACCATTACTTTAATAAACGATAATAAGGAAACATCCTAAAAAGTGAACTCCCATATTTTCCTTAAACATCAGCAGAGTATGAAGAATTTGCACCCGCAGAGTCACTGGGGACAGAACGGATACAAAGAAGTGGAAAGCAGAGATGAAGAACATGTTGTGTTTGTGCTGTCAGAGGTTCAGGATAGTTACTGTGGGGCAATCTGCAAAACCATATTTCCCTCAAAGACGAGGAAAACACATTTGGAAATGATATATGATCGCGTTGGAGTTTTGATTTCAATCATAGGGATATTCTGAATATTTGAATAATTGGTACTGATCATATACTGTAATAGCACAATTGCCAACATTAACAAGGAAAGGCGTTGTAGGTGTATCAGTCAATGTACTGCAACATGATACTATGCTGTTTGTGCAGGAGACCCCAAACTTCAACCCTTTCTGCAACGGGGAAGCCAAAGGTCAGGGTGGCTATACAGAAAAATAAAAGTTATAATAAGCAAACTGATAACAATCATAATAAAACTTAATTTATTACAGAAAATAATGTTTTACAATGTCATTGTGTTCAACAAATTGAGAAAAAACAACAAAGTTTACCATGTAAAACAGGTCATGGCCTTTACTATTTACTGAGGAGGAGGCGTAAGTTAGATAGAATACTCTTGGAAAGCAAATATGGACGATGTTATAAGATAATTTTGTCAGAAATGTTTTTGTTTATATTTCTTTATTTATAATTCTATGTCCCAAGAATTAAGAAATTGACAGGAATATAATATTTACAGTAGCACAGGGTAGACACCTAAAAAATGCATTCTTGAATTCATAACATTCGCCCATCTATTGTTTTTTTATTTGTATTAATTGAATCACCTGCATATTCAAACTGATTATAGCAACACTGGGTTCAGTCCATACAGTTGTGATGAGCAGTAACAGTGGCAATATTTTGTTTATGATCTTAGGGTTATGTGACTTAATTGGGGACGTAAAAATAAATTTGAATCCTTTGGATCTCCCCATGCCCCATTCTTTTCCCTGTCGCTGTCTTACAAACACTCACACACACATAAACACACACACACACACACACACACACACACACACACACACACACACACACACACACACACACACACACCTTCGCGCATACTCCTCAATCACACCTCCCTCCTCCATCGCTGGGATCCCAGGGAGGAATACATCGCATCGGAGGTTGCAGGAGCCGGTCGCGTCATCCCTGGATGGGCGGCGCACAGACGAGAGTACGGAGGGTGTTTTCCAGATTTAAAAAGCACGAGAGCCAGCCCCTCTGACAAACCGCGCTGCGTCATCGACCTGGGGACACTCTAGAAAACCTTCAGTCGGCTGAGGAGAGCCAAACTCACCTCACCCACGGTCCACTTCGCAGCACTCCCTGCACCGGTCTCTAAATCATTGAGACACGACTTATCCCCTGCTCACTTGGTTTCAGACTTGTACACGCGCTTTTCTACGAAGTATGCTTTTATTTGATGCTGTATGAAGTGATCTATCTCTTGCAACACTATCATAGGCGCTTCTTTACTACAGTCCCAGAGAAAAGTTGCGCATCGCTTGTTGAATGCAGGATACCTACTGCCTCAGCGTCAATTCCAAGTTCAGCTTTGGAGCAACAGCCGGTAAGGAGCGGGGACTCCAGTGCGTCACCTCTCTCAGCGCCGATATGAAGTCTGCAGAGGAAGGTAAAAGTATACCTTTTTTGTTATTTGGTATGATGTAATATGGCAAGCAGCGCTCCCGTGTGCACATCCTGTCTTATTCTTTGACATTAAGATATGTTTACACAACTATAAAAGTGCAGGGACAGTGTGCCCTTCTCAATTTTAGATCAAGCATTTACTGAGGTTATAGAAAGTAGAAATAAGACAATGTTGTGTATTTATTTGTTTAAGCTTAAACAAAGAATGAATGTGTCCACCTGCAGATACTTTTCAAATAGATGACATGCTGACATTTAAAACATTTTGGTCACTTTGATTAGACTTCTAGGCTAGTTGTTAAAAGTTAAAACTATTAGTTCAGAGGAAAATGTATACAATTGTTACTGTTACTATGTAAACACTACATCCACACCATTAGGTGTCTCCAGTTGTCTTTGCAAGTGCTTTGCATCATGGTTGCTGTCACCTGCACAAAGTTCACACAAACCTTAATATATACATGTGGATTTATACATTTTAAAAGTTGGGACATTATCCATCCCTATAATGTAAAATGCACGGTCTGATCAGCAGTCAGTGGGCAACAAAATAAAAGCAGGTGTTGCACGAGATTCTGTGACACATTTAGAGATGAATGCATGGATACATTGATTTGCAAGGATGGCTGATTCTACCAGGTCTTACTGAAAAGACATTTGCTTTCTTTCAAAAGTCTTTGATTCAGCATTTTCTGGTTATAATTTGGTCTGTCAGAAATCGTAGTTTGTCCATGTCTTCTCTTAAATCACTAGTGCTGATGTCACTGGCTTTTTTGTGGATTCGGGGTATTTCATTTTGTCTTTGAGGTTTCAGAAAGACGGGTGCAGACTGTATTATTATTCATTTCAGTCCCTCAGCTATAAGCCTCATAATTGGTAACAGATATGTGTGTGTGTTTAGGTGTGTGTGTGTGTGTGTGTGTGTGTGTATATGTGTGTGAGAGGGATGCTGGGTAGCTTGTCAAGGAGATGTGCTTAACCACACACAGCTTCAGCAGTATGCCAAGGGCTGCTTTATTGTCACACATATATATAAACTCAGTAGCATCACATACTGATGAAAGCAGACACACACACACACACACACACACACACACACACACACACACACACACACACACACACACACACACACACACACACACACACACACACTCTACTGGTGTTTTGCCACAGCCCACAGTCAGCCGTGTGTGATAAGTGGTCCTGGGGTTCTTAGTTCCAGAGGCTGCAGATAACTTCTGTGGGCGACCACCTATCTCTCCCTGAGGTCCCGTCAGTCTGGGCCCAGCCTAGACCACAACCCTGTTCATAAACCCATCTGTTCTTTAGTCACGCTGGTTTGCTTGTGGAGAAAGCATGTTTTGATGGCGATAGCATTAAAGAGGAAAATTGGGGACAACAGAAAGAGCAAGCTATAAACTGGGTGATAGTCAGTGTTTTTAAATTATCTTTGCTTACACCGCATTTTGAAAGCTCTGCAAACAATTGTAGAGGCTTGGCTTTGAGTGCAAGAGTGAGTCATTAGATTTTTTTTCTTCTTTCATTTGTTTCACCCCACAAATTGTCTACGATCTGGTATAATTTTGTGAGTTCAGCAGATGATGTGATGCATGCAACTCGAAAAAAAAAAAAAGTTTCAAGCTCAGGCAGCACACACGAGTGAAAGCCCCTGAGAGTTTGAGTGGGTGGCAGAAGAAGTCAAGTTTGTTGTGGCATAGTGCACTAATCTTGCACACAGTCAAAAGCAAGAGGGGAAAAAAAAAAAAACAGCTGCAACTCTAAGAAAAGTCAGCCAGGCCTGAAGTAAGGAGGTGTGTCACCGGGTGGAGTGGGCAGGAGATTATCATCTGTTCAACACTTTAAGAGGATAAACCAGAGGAGAAAAGCATCAGAGGAGACCGAGCTGAAGACGTACTCGTTCTTTTTTTTTTCTGGTGAAAAATAGATAGAGATGAGTTTCCAGCACGAAGAGCAAGAGTTTGATTTCAGCTATATGTTTGAGTACAGTCAAGGTTTGCAGAATGAACCAGAGAGAGGTGGGTACCGTCTATTCTTGTTTGTATGATCTGTATGTTGCACAGTTTGAAAGAAGTGATTGCCCTGGGAGCTAAAAGAAGATTTTTTTCCTCTTTGAAACAGCTGTTAATGGATCTGACTGAAGCTATCTGCTAACTTTTTAGATAGAATTTTCTACAATAATTTCTTTATAACATTCTGAAGTTCATGTTTAATTTTTTTTTCCAATTGGCTCCAGATATTTTTTCTTTTTCATTTTCTTGGATATTATGTTGATAAAAATGATTGGACTGCCAATATGGGAGTGCCCAAGGCTTCAGTAGGTTGATACATGTGGCATAATTTCACATTTTTTAAAAATAGACTCTGAGAACTAATTTAAGATTTCCTACCCACAGATTATGCATTGTGTGACGGATTAATCATTTCATGTGATGTATATCAATGTGGTTAACAGAAAATAGCAGAGCACATCCAGGGGAAGGCCTTCACTAGGTTTCAGTCTGAATGGTATTCATCCTGTGAACCCTTTTACCCTCATAGACATTTTCACAACTCTGACAGAAACATCAGCCAGCCGCTTCTACAAGGCTACATGTGCCTCAGTGTTCTTGAGTTCAAACAGCATTGCACTTGTCTGCTCGTGATTTCCTCCTTTGCTTGCCTGTGCTTGCCCTTTGTTTGTGTACCGCGGTGCGTCTGTGTGTACCGCTGCAACAAACTCTCTCTGACTTAATCACAAGCTCAGAGCAATGCGAGAGTGCTGTCAGTTTTCCACAGGGGAGGGCCTAATTCACTCAGTGAGTGATGCAATCAATCAAATAAAGCATCCATCAGCGCTGCTGGAGGAATTCCTGTAGAGTACATATGACAGCAGGGAGTGCCAAATAGAGCCTTAGATGAACTGATCACACAAACAGAGTGGCTGTGCAACTTGCAACTACACAGCTACAACATACATTACTACTTTGAGATTGTTGGGAAGATACTCCAGACGTTTATTGATTTGTAACTAAATCAGGTCATTTTCTGCAAGACATATTGGGAATATTTGTGTCGGGCATATTGACAATGCAATGCAACTAATTTCCTTCATGTAGTGGTTCTAACCAGTTACACTGTATTTTATCATATACTACCATTTACTGAAAATGTACTTCTTCTTTTCAGATGCATACAGCTACACACCAAACGTCAGCTTGTCCCTGCCCCTGGGCATGGGCAACCCCTGTCTGGCCACCCAGTACCACACTTTACAGTCCAGCCCGGTCATCTCAGTTTCCTCTTGCCACCAGACTGGCTACAGCCTCCAAAATGATAATCATGCAGCATCAGGTTATTACCTTCCTCATGGCCTGAGACCCAATGGGGCCCCAGCCTTGGAAAGCCCCCGCATAGAGATCACAGCCTACAGCCAATATCCCGAGGATGAGGTAGAAGAGAGCAGCAGTGAGGACCACATCATCAAACGCGGCGTTAACTCCATTGTGACGCTAACACTGCCTAATGCCGATGGTTACCGTGATCCCAGCTGCCTCAGCCCTGCCAGTAGCATCTCGTCCCGTAGCTGTAACTCAGAGGCGTCCTCTTACGAGTCAGGCTTCTACAACTATGACAACTCCCCCCAGAACTCTCCTTGGCAATCTCCTTGTGTTTCTCCCAAAGGCTCGTCCTCACTCCTGTCCTGCCATCATGCCAGTGGGCCAGCAGCTTCCCCTCGCCATTCACCATCCACCTCCCCGCAGATAGGAGCTTTAGCTGAGGAAGGATGGCCAGCACAACCTCGTGGCTCCAGGCCGAACTCCCCTTTCTGCAGTGGAGGCAACGGCATCGGCTCCATGGGAAAGAGAAAGTACAGCTTCAATGGCACCCCATACCGTCAGACATCCTGCTCACCCAACCAGTCGCCCACCCCATCCCCACATGGCTCCCCGAGGGTTAGCGTCACAGACGAGAACTGGCTCGCCAATACCAACCAGTACACCAACTCCGCCATTGTGGCTGCCATCAACGCGCTAACCACAGATGGAGTGGTGGAAATAGGGGAGGGAATCCCAATCAAGACAAGGAAGACCATGTTGGACCACTCAACATCCATGAGCCTGAAGATGGAGCCTGCCGGTGAGATGCTGAGCCCTGACGGGGAGCTCTGTCATGAGGACTACCCCTCCCGCATGGCCCTGAAGAAAGAGAACTACTGTGGAGGGTTCCTCGATGTGCCCCAGCACCCGTACTCCTGGTCTAAACCAAAGCCTTACCTCAGGTGGGTAAATCTGCATCAGCTATTCTGTAAAGCAATTAAACTTACACATTATCCATGTTAAATACTTAAGACTTCCAAGATGATTGGTCCATCCAGTGTTAAACCAACCCTTTACAGTTGCAAATTATGAAAACAATAATACATGATGCAATGAGATTGACTTAGTATTTATGGTTGATTTATGGTTTCAAAATGTCTCAATTAGGTGTAGGTCTGCTTTTGAGTTGTGTATTTTCAGGCACTGAACAGAAAATCGTCATTAATTCATCCATTAATGTGACTAATTTATTCTTAATTGACATCGTTCATAGAGTTGTTTATTTATTGCAACAAGGTTGTTTTCTTTTTTTATTCTCTAAAAGACCATATCAAGAGATTGAAATCCAAGTAACATGCTCTGTACTTCCAAAATAGTTCTCTTTGAAGATCAAAACTATTTCATAAATCATATTTCACAGGAAGGAATTGCCCAGCCTGTGTGTGACTGTTTCTATAGTAACCAGCACACAAACATAGGTGCGGATACAATCACACACTTACTCAAATACAGCAATTCACTCAACTATAAAATTGATTTCTGGCTTTTGAGCGAGGTAAGCTTTATTTTTCAATTTCAATTGTGTCCCTCATGGCATTATTTTCCAAGCCAATAACACACTTTCCTGTCGGAAATCAAGTGTTTGATTAAGATAGTGAGTTACAGGAAGTAACGGTGACAGGCCTGGCTGAAGGGGAAGCAGTCTGTGGGTTAATCAGCCGGCTCGCTGCTCTGGCCTGTCGCGCCATCAGCCCATCTCTTTCTGTGTAGCTTAGCCTGATGTCATGCACTGACTGGGCAGATAAAGCCCTGTGGGGGGAAATCAGTTCGTTTTGGGTCAACAAACAGCCCGCAAGCTCCACAAAGATGCCAGAGATTGGTTTCAGTTGAGCCACCCTTCAGGTCAGGGGTTTGCAATGACCAGGCATCCGGCGTCGAGAAATATTGTCTTGCACATGTTTGTTTTGGTTTAGATATCTCCACGGTGTTCACGTGGGAAGCTCTGACTCTCCATCTCAAGAACAATGATGTTAGGGCAGGCAGCTGTAGGTCTCCCTCGAGGGAAACAGATCTCATGCTCTAAGACGGGGTGTGCTGCTGACCCTATTTTGTTGTATAACTCTATTGTGTTTTATACCAGAGTGTCTGTCCTTTAGAATTGTACAGTTGTCAATTTGAAGTGGATCATTATTGTATCAAAGGACAGACTGATTGCCACCTTGTGTGATTTGGGGGTTTTTTTGCCCTAGAAATGTCTGTTCTCCCTCTCTGTCCCTTCCTTAACTCTTTGTGTCCTTTCCCACCTGTCACACCATAATACCAGACACATCGTTTCCTGACAAAGCCACATTCGTCTTTCATTTATTTATCATAGGAAGGCCCGCTAATTATTGCACAGGATGAAGGAATTACACGTCAATGGATGACTTCAATTGATTAGATTAAAGACGATGATGACATGGAGAAGGATCAGGCCAGTTGGATTACACTAAAGAGTCCTGGTTTGAAGTTGATGTAAAGCATGTTAAGAACTTTTGGATTCAGGTGTCACTAGCAGTGATGGAAACTGGAAACATTTGAACTCATTAGCCATCACTTTAGAGAATCACACGTGACAAAAGTTTAAGAATTAAAAGAGGACACAGAGAGAAACATAAAACGTTATAAAGCTGTTTTTTAAGGTAACATTTCTTCTTCTTATTATTATTTATTTTTTTAGGAAAGAATAACCTGCCACTATATATATATCACAGAAAGAATGACCTATTCATGGATATATATTAAAACTAATTCATAACCATGTTATAACAGAAAATGATGAACAAACAATTTTTTTGCTTTTCACTTTGACCTTACATAAATTGTTGTTAATTGATATTGCAGCCCCTCTCTGCCATCTCTGGACTGGCAGCTTCCATCCTGCTCCGGCCCTTACAACCTACAGATCGAGATGCAGCCAAAGTCCCACCACAGGGCCCACTATGAGACCGAAGGCAGCCGAGGGGCGGTGAAGGCCCCGTCAGGAGGCCACCCTGTAGTACAGGTATGACGGCAACATTTTGTTAGCTAGCGAAGGGTTTCTGAGTCGGGTCTTACAGACTCACTGTACACATCACTATTTACTACACACAGGGAAGGCTTTGTTGGTTAAAACTGGATATTTTTTAGCTGTCATGACAGCACAAGTGGTAATAAGCAGACAAGCACCTGCTGATTCATTTCACAGTACTTTTTTTTGTATTTTCTGTCCAACAACAAGCCAGTGCCCTGGACACATGGCTGTTGATTTTATGACAGCATATACTTACAGAGCAGTGCAGCATTACTTTTTTTCTTTAATATATTTTGACAGTCCTTTTCTTTTCTTTTTTTTTCATCAAAGCAACCTTAATGTCAATTCATTTCAAACCAATTTTCATCTGCAAAATCTTCTTGCACAAGACAATATATAAATATATATATTCAAAATGATCCAATTTAATTAGTAATGAAGGCCGAATTTAAAACTTTGCAAAACAAAAACAAGTTAGATATTTAAAGTATAAAAATATTCTCAACTATAAGTTGATATCACATGTTGTCAGGTTTTATAGTAACTTTTTTATGGCAGTGGTGTAATGTACACACATCACAGGTAACATGTCTCTGCACTTGTATGCTGTGTTGTTAATGCTCCTTAACGCCACGAGTCAATCTACTGTTTCAAAAAGTTGCCATGACCAGCAGCAGTGCATGCCGACTCAATTAGTATAGACCAGGATCATAGCCTCTCACTGTTGTGCTTGGCAAACACTTAAGGAGAACACGTCAGCCTCACCAGGAGTACAGCAGACATCCTTTCTCTGCCACACTGTCATCACACTGCTCTGACAGCCTAGTTTACTCAAGGTGGTTATGTAGCATGTGTGCATGCCGTGTTTAAGCGTCAATTCCAAATATCCATGTTGTCAATTCAAAATAAAACTTCACTTAACCTAATGAACTAAAGGGAATTCTTGATTCTTTGTTTTAGACAGTATGTGAAGATAACAGTTGCAGGTGTTGGATTCATGATACAACAAAGCAAACTTTTTTTTAGACCAGTTTATTTGACAGATGGTGGTCCCTCCTTGTTAAACCCCTAACAGTAGACAATGTTTGCACCATAGCTGTTTTGTAAATAGATGTTGTCAGCAAATCATGCTCTGCTCCTTGTCAAACACACTCGACAGCTGTTGGCCTTCATGGTGATATAAACAGGCTCGTACAGCTTTAAGTTTTCTCTGTAAATACAGGTAATTATTCCCCTTCATTACAACCCTTTGTATATCAACATGCGGGTGAATCAACACCTCACACCTCCACGTGAGGCTGACCAGACTCAGCCTGCCATGAACAGCTGCGGCAGGTGAGACTGCTTTTGATTAAGCCTACCCCACTTTCTGACTCACTCCGGCGGTGAAAAAGTCATGAGTAAGCATCCTGTGTCTTTGCACTGTGTTGTCCAGATTTAGATTGATGACATAGTCTATTTGTATGATTTTACCCAGACGTCAATTCAAAGCCAACTTTGCAAGGATGTTTTCAAGTCTGTGTCTGTTTAGCCAATATCAGTAAGTACTAGTCATAGAGGAAATATGATGACAGCTGCTTTATCGTCACACCTCCCACCTTCTTGCATAGCTCACACTTTACTCTTACTTTTTTTTTTTGTGAGGAGTGATTTATGCCTCTCACATTGCATGTGCAGACAATTGGGATATCTTCAGGGTTTTTTTTATAACAGTGGAAACCACTGGAAGCGTTGTAGTTGGCAGAAAGATAAATCTATAAGGGTCGGCAATCATGTCTACATGCTAGAGGGGGAAATACAAAAGAAGAGCATGTGCTGCATCTCCCAGGTACAAACTTATCATAAACCTCACTGTCTCACTTTTTTTCTCTTTTTCTGTCTTCGTTGAAGAGAGAAATGTTGTTGTTGTAATCTTGGAGGATAGTGCATGTTGTAGCCCCCAGCGCCCTGGGGGAATGAGTGGCAAGCCCTGGATGGGTGAGGTGCAATCAAGGAGAATGAGTCAATAATGACACCGGTGTAGGAAGAAGCCTAGGAAGTGTCTTGTGTGCCTGTGTAGTCTGTTTGCCTGTGCTAGAGACTGAAGAGAGAAGGAGAGAAGGGGCAGAGGGAGTCACCAGGCAGCTGGGGCCTCGCTGCCCCAGGAGATGCTCTGTATCCTGCTGATTAGGGCCCGGGCGTCCTGGAGGTTGGCTGAGCTTGATGGTGGTGGGGTTGTTTTGGTAGTGGCGGATAGGAGTCAGAATCCCGACACCCATCAGAGGCCAACTCCCCCGTCTCCTCACTCTCACTCCCCTGGAGGATATGAGGATGTCACTCCTCATGAACCATTCATCCTTCAACCAGCTCCTAAACCCTCACCAGCAGGCCTCCCTCATTTAAAGCTAAGTCATCCACTACTGTTTTTTTTAAGCTCATGGATGATCAGACACAAGTTCTGAGTGATGGTGACACGTGTTTTGGAAAGCAACTCTGCATGAATAAACAACCAGATGAAAAACATGAAGAGATACACTGTTTATAGAGCTTACAATGTTCCCAGGAGACATAGAAAGTCAAACCAGGATGCTCAACTACTCGTGAACGGTTCCTGACTTGTTATTCAATAACAAGCAGATGTGTTTTCCTGACAAACACATCTGCAAAGTTGAGGATCTATAAGGTCTGACATCAGCCGTAGCTGCAGCAGATCAACCACACCTCATTCAGTCCTCCTCACCACACTGGATGGAGAGACTGTGGCAAAGTTTGGTGGAGAAGTGGAGTGTCTTAACCCCAGCCGCACACTGATGAAACCCCAAGATTATGGGTTACCTCGACTCATTACCCCTCTGTTGCTAGAACCAGCTCTACAGGCTTCAAGTTCCAAATCTCAGTCATTTATTCTGGACTCGCACTCTGTCCTTTCCCTCCCCTCCTCCACATCAGCAGCCTGTTGACCTCCTCAGAATGGTCGTCATTGTGACCACCACAACTGCTTTCCACTTTATTTACTGCTTAAGACCACGGCATCATTAAAGAAATCTGGGGGTACCATCGGTTCCTCTCACACTGTTCCAGACTTTCCCCCTCTCTCACCACAGGTATGCCAAATCCTACAGGATGGTTTTTGAAGCCCAGAAAAAAATAAAAACTAGGTCCACCTTCACTCGTAACACCACCACGACATTGATTGATGTTTTTTTTCCAGGGAGCACTGGGGGGAAAGGGGTATATGTTAGGAATTATTTTTTATGGAGAAAAAAAGTTATGGAGGACATGACCTGGATCTGATCGAAAGTCTGGGATTTGTTGAAGATGGTGAAAAGGCTTTTAGGTTCAACTCGGCCCTCAGTAACAGCAGACACCAACACCTGTGTAGTATTAAACCTATCGCACAGCACACAGTGCAGTCCTGCATATGGCTAGTTTGTAAAGGATAATGACTGGCCTATAGGGCCTTCCCCCTCATGCATGCACACACTCCTTCAGTCTCTCATTAAGTCTAAAGCAGCAACAGACATGGTGTAATTTCAGCAGGATGTGGCCATCATCGCTATTAACGTGTGCGTGACTTAATACCCATCTCCTTTCCTCTGTACTTGCATGTAATGCACATCAAATTTGCCGTATGTTTCCGCCACATCGACATGAAAGACCTTAGCCAACATGTGCTCGATTCTTTGCATGTGCTGTTTCACCTCGGGATCTCAGTGCTGGCTGGCTGTGTAATTTCTCAAAAGAAACCCACTGATCGATGGCACCCTAAACTGTAGCTGCTTATTGGTCATTAAGCCCACTGCCACCTCTTGTTTGATATCCAAATGGCTTGGCGTACCCTGTAGTGCTGTTAGAGTTTAGTCAGGGGTGCTGATATTTGCCCAAAGGGGGTATTTATTCAACTGTTAAACAGCAGTTTTACCCCATCTATGGGGTTTCCCTTCCATTGGTATTGGGCTACCACTAATTACCAGTGAATATCAAGTGGAAAAAATGGCGTAAGATTTGTATCATTTTGGCTGGTTTGAGGCAATGACCAGACGTCCTACATATTTATGAAAAAGAAACTAATGGGTAGTGGTGATAGAGGGGGGTTTGCAGCAGTCATTCGTGCCCCATCTAACTCAAATTCTCCATATTTTTTGATGATATTTCTTATGGCAGACTGTGCTGGTAACCAAGTCATTCCTTTTAGTATGGAATTTGGACCGTCATCGGTCTAGACTACGGCTTGTGCTTGAAACGATGCCCTCAATGACATAACAGTCGAGTAGACAGTTCCCAAAAAAAACTTGAGCTGTTTGGTTGCTTATAAATGGGAAGATTTTGTAGCTATGGAAATGCAGCACATTAAAGGTTGTTGCCGTATGTATTCAATATACGTCACTTCAGACATCAGTGGGGCAGGAGGGTGGAGTCTGGATGGAGAGACAGCTTGGACGAGTGTACATTTAATTGGGTACAGCAGAGTCTGGCTGTGTGACTGTCAGCACTTGACAAAGAGAGGGGAGCGTGATAATGGGAAAAAGCCTGAATCTGCTGTTCAATCTCTCCTCCCCTTCTAAGCAAACCCCATCTTCTCCACTGCTTCCAGTCGTCTTCTCCCTCTCCTATTTCCTAATTCTCTGCGCCACGTGGCCCTCAAAGAGTCATGACATTTCTCCAGGCAGTGATGAAATCACTGCAGAGCGATAGCAGGCAGCACACTGCAGGCGTGTGGAGTGTATTTACACTCAATTTATAGTTAGGCCAAACGTATCTAATTTACCAGCAAATCACTTTTAAACATTGCCTCTTCAAATAGTTTATTTTGAATAATCAAGACAGTTACAGGCAGCAATGAAATGTTGCTATTACAGAAACAAAATAAGAGGAAAAAATGTGTAATGGAAAAAAAAAAACATTAATTTTAAATACAGTGTAACAAGTGATTTTTGTTGTGTGAAGAAAAGACAATTTAGCAACGGCTGAAAGTTTCACTTTAAATTCTATTTCTGCCATGGTCCACAGGCACTGGGAAATGAATGGTGGAAAGTGGGTGGGATAGACCCTCTTTTCTCCCTTTTGCCAATACCCCACCACATCATCAGAACTGACCTAGACAATACAGCTGCATACAATTACACAATTAATGCATCAGCTGCCATATCCACAATGTTTTACTTGCCTAAACCATCAAAAATGGCCTCTGCAACAGTGGCTTGCGGTAGGAGGTGTAAATGGATCCGGCTGACACAGTGGCAGAAGTTGGCACCCTTAAACAGCTGCAAATCAAGCCCGGATCAAACTTGGTTTAGATTAGCTCAAAATAAATATACAGTACGTGTGCCAGATACAGCTGCAGTTCCAGCTAGGAAAACTCATCTGGTCAAAATTAGCTGCTGCCTGGTTCAACGACACAGTATTAGACAAACACATAGCTGAGGTCACAGGTGTGTGAAGGAGAATGAGTGAAGTCGCCACCCACACTTAAAGTTTACAACAATATCTAGACTGTTTGCCTCATCTTTTGAGAATAAAATGATGGAGTGAGCTTAGCACTCTTCTTGTGGTGAGTATTTGAGTTAGCATCATAAGAGTAAAGCAGAAGTTAAGGGAGAGGGTCAGGGAGCACATATGGTAAATAAATTGGGGGGAGGTCGCCCAGGGGGGACTAGACCGCCATTCTTAGCTTCTTGGAAGACCAGCGTCACCAAGAGGACTACCTGACCTCATTAATCACTTCCTGTCCTCCATGAGGTCACTACGGCTTTGAGTGGGGATGCCACCGTCAGTGTATGCAACCACAAGACGAGTGAAGGGATAAAGACTACTTCTCCCTCCTGCCTCTCTAGTGGGCCTCCTTACAGCCACGTGGCTGCTGAGGTAATGCTTGGAGGTCGCAGGAAATCCATAGAAGTCGTCTGAGGCAAAAGTGACAGACGACACATCTTTGTAGCATGGCTGCCTGCCTTTTATTAAATCATGAGGGGACGTCATGCAATTTAACGCTCCGGTGTTTCAGATTTGTACCTCATGCTCCGCCATAGTGCTCTCACAAGTCAATAACATAAGTAACTGGTAGCATGTGTGGCTATGGATAATTACCTCTGGTGACACCATAAGTAAAATATAACAAGCAGAGCAGGGTCTGTTGGTGAGATCACTGGATAGATGAAGTGGTCCCTTGGGATGCCAAGACTTCAAGAAGCTTCTGACCTCGGCCTAACTCACTGATGACTAGCATGTGTGACTAGCTCACAGGTCAAGACAGCTGCTAGAGACACTATGTGGAGCTGAAAAGAAAAATTGGACGATTGGAACTGGAGATGAATGACAGTCAAAGCTTTACCACTCCTTTGGTATCTGTTTGATATCTGAATCAAAGACATATGGCTATATACCCTACTCCAGACAGAGTCTATTTTTATTCCACGTAATTAAGACTGTAAATTGTTTAAACAGGGAAGAGAAATAATACATCCTCTGCCCTGTCCCAAATCCAAAAGACCTGTCATCAAGTCCAGATCGTAAGCATTTCATCTTTATGGTTATGATTAGGCCAGGCAACTATGAATGTGTTCACAAACCAAAGACTTTAGGTGTCCATGACACTGTAGCACTAATTTCCAGGGATTATTAATGATGTACCTCTTTGGTCTTCCACTATCCTTTGTCTTCCTCACACCCACATCTCTGACCGCGCTCACTAAGGTAATTATAAACCCATTAATCAGATTATGTCATAGGTTACATGTGGTCTGCATTTTGTTATATGACTCAGCCTGTTGGATAAACAACAGGATTTTATTCCATTTGACAAGATCACTGTTTTTATGGAGCTCAAAGAAATTGGTTTTAAGCGATGCATGGGTATGTGTTTGGGTAATTGACCAATTTGTGGGATTTTTCAGATGGCCATGGCTTGTTGAGGCCTGGTCTTGAGTAAGTGATCACTCAGTAATGACATATGTGGTCAAGTAGCTACCTAGGTAGAAGGACAGAGGTCCTCATGATGAAAAGTATTCCTCTCTCAGTTGGAACCAGATAGATTCTACAGTTTTCTGACAGTCTTTGAACTGGAAGGATTTCTAAGCCTACACCAACATCTCCCCCCATTGACCATATGGCCAGTGCAAAGAGCAGACATATTCTGGGAGGTCTACAGTTGAAGACTCACTTTTACCAGAAATCCACATTTGGTTGGCAAATTATTCTGGTCAGAAATCACACACAAAGTATTTGTTGTTCTTCACCACAACTTAGAAATTACAAACCAGTTCACATTTTTGAACCATTACACACTTAGTTATATTACAAAATAATATTACTTTAGACACTTTCAGTAATTGATACAGGGCTGCCAAGTGTAAATTGGCAGTTTCAATTTATAATTGAAGAGCCTTTGACCAAAATGTCAACAGTACTTTTCAAACTATGCACGGCTATGGAGTTTTTCCTCTGTTTTGAAAATATTTGATCTTTTTATTACTTGAGCAGTAGCTGCTAATGGAGGTCTTCTAGAGGAAGTGGTAGTTGTTTGAAGTGGTGGTCCTGATACAGGAGTCTCTTTCATCACAGTGGGACACAGTCTCTGAGCTTTAATGGAAATCATAATGCATGTTCATAACTACCCAAAGGCAAAGGGGTGGGATTCCATCTGCATGCCAAGTTCCATGAAGTTTTTTTAAGTTATTGCATTCAGGTGTAAAGTTTGCTGATTTTGACAACTACTGTATTGCACAGAATTTGGACATTGTGTCTAGGTAGGTTATTGTGTATGCCATGATGTCTCTTCACTATGCACTGATAATTTACTTCACTGATCCCAAAAGTTTGTTTGAATCTCCTAGTTCCATCATATACCAATACCATTTTCAGGGAAATTTGCGTTAGCAAAATCATTGGTTCCATGACTTTTTGGGGTTTTCATCAAAGCATTTTTTTTTTAGCCAGAGCTGAAATATTTTGATAAATGATTTTTTAATTTGACTTTGTAAGGCTCACTTCTACTGAGTCACTGTCGCTTGCTTGAGTCTCTTTAGGCTCTTTTTTAGTAGCAGCAGGCAGATTTAATGAACAATGAATTGAATGGGAGCTGCCTCCACATCATCTATGTCTCTGAGCAGAAATGATCCCTACCCCTAACAGTAGCATAAAACATCAGAAATCTCTACAGTAACAAGTTCAAATAAGAATGACAAGGACCACAGAGATAGGGGCTACAATCCAACCCAAAAAATAAACAAAGAATAGGGGCTTATTTCCACAGCCCTTCTACCATGTCAAAGCTATCATTAAAGGCCCCTTTAACTATCAGTAGCTGATGTGCATTCAATCTCTGTTTCCTAAATGAGGGGTTGCCTGAAAATGGGGGGGGGGGTGGTCTTAAAACCTGATGTTGCCTCTCACCTGGGTCCCTTTGTTCTCCCGCCAGCTTTATGGCTACATGGAAAGTGAGCCGCTCACCCTGCAGCTGTTCATAGGGACCGCAGACGACCGCCTCCTGCGACCACATGCCTTCTACCAGGTCCACCGCATCACCGGTAAAACCGTCTCCACTGCCAGCCATGAAGTCATGCAATCCAACACCAAAGTTCTGGAGATCCCTCTGCTGCCTGAAAACAACATGAGAGCCATGTGAGTGCTCTTAGAACTTCACAAGTCACCTATCCATCTTTTTTCTTTCCACAATTTTTCAATTGACCTCTACTTCAAAACCACTCAAAAAAAAAACATTTCTGTCAGTCTGCACCTTGTTCTCTGCCTTAGCTCTATACTAACAGAATGCTTGATGAGAGGTACTGTACAGCATACACTTCTAAATAGGACTTCAAAAATAATATATATGCTTGCATCCCTTGAGATGAATGATTTCTGAGGAGTTGAAATGAATACTGAGAGTTGAGTTCATGGTTGACTTGATTCTGACCAATGTGTGCATGGAATGTAAGGATTGAGACTTAGCTTATGATTGTAAAGTTCAACCTGCAGTCCTCACGGGAGTAAAAAAAAATATGTTTGCACAAATATAATTCACATGTACAATCAAACCCATTACATCAGGCTTAGCAAATATTTGCCAGTTGAATATATTGGATAACTACTACTAAGCCAACAGGTCTGATGAAAGAAAACTGCACTCCAGTATCAGGATCAGAATTTCAGGATGCTCAATAACTCACAAGTCATAGTCATTAGTCATTAGTCATGCTTGGTGTCTCCAATGTAATCATATGTTTAAATCAAATATACATTTTTTTTTTGTCACAGCAGACGTTTTAGCTTGTTAAAGGAGGAAAAACACAGGTGTTACTAATAATAATAACGAGGTTGACTTTCAGTGCAATTATCCCAGTAAGCCTTGATAATGTCAGCCAGCATGCCAAATAACAGCATCCTGAAACGGAAGCAGCAAAAAACAATTCAGCTATAATTATAATTAATATTAAGAGCAATTTTTGTTGTTGAACTATGACCCCTTGAAACATTTACTTCAAAGACTTCTTCTTAATCAAGAACTGGTAAACAGCAGCATCAGTCTGCTACCAAAAAAAACATGGAAAAGACAACTGCTTTGAGTTTAAGTATGAGAAGCTTAGCACACGTTTTCTTGTGTTGTCTTTTGCGAAGACAAGCTAACTCTGTAGCTAACTCCTGCTTTATTTGCTCCTTTTCTACATGTAGTGTTTACCACAAAATGAGCTAGCTAACTCGCTAAAACGCTGCTAGTTGGTGGCTAAATACTTTAATTTTAATTTACCTTTGAAAAACATCTAGCTTACCCAGCCTAGCATCTTTTGCTAGGCTAAGGAAATTCAGTCTTTGCCTCTCATACTCCCACCAGACCTGCACTAATCCAAGGGACTGTGCTCAGCAGCAGGTTGAGGGGCTCCATTCAGACTAGGCAGTAGTGAATAGTTTGGCACGGGGCCGAGAACTCTGTTATGGATTAAACCTTTGTATTAGAATATAGCTTATAAAAGGATTTACCTTTTATTGCACCTAAACGTATCTATTCTTGTTCATTAATGTGCTGAAGTTCATAGGATGTTGGGGATTCCTGACTTGGGGTAGTGGCTTTCTTTGGTCAGAAAATTATTTTTTAAACATTCATACAGCCTTGCGATATCATTTTCTAAAAAAATACCACAATATCCCGTGTATTGTATCATATTTAAGGCAGCCCCTCCATTAACTGGATTTAATGGGTCCCTTATCGTGAATCTGATATTAAAGAGAAGTATCGAGGAGGAAGTGTTTGCTGCCCTTTTTCTTCAGCCCACGTGCTCAAGAGAGAGTGGAGAAAATTGTCTCTTTTCTCTGCCGACTATCTAAAAGGTCAAATGCAAAGAAAAGCCTTTAACTACATCCACTAAGACGTTTAACAGTTGTCTTGATAATCTGCATCTCTGCCATCAATCATGGACTCACTGTGTGGGATGAAAACACTCCATTTCAATTTCCGGACAGTTTTAATCTGTCTTTTTATATTATTATCATCAAGGAAGTTCTCATACAAACATACACACAAAACAGATCATAGTGAAGTATTGGATTATATTAGCAAAGGTAATATATTCTTATAAATACTGTCTACCTTATCACTAAAGAAATACTTTAAAGGCTCTACTGCTTAATACTTCAGTTATGACTACAAAGGGTTTTTTTGGTTAACATTTAGAGTATGTTTTAGATCGCCACAGCAGTTCAAAAATAATAATTATATCTATTCTAAATATTCTTTCTGGCGATTTAACTGCCATCTCAGGTTATATAGGCCATGCAAACTGACTACAACTCCTCAATGATGTCTATCATCTTGTGTTTGTTTTAAAACCTTATACGCACAGAAACAGTACAACATCATGCCAGGCTGATAAGAAGTGAATAGTCAGCCTTACATATTAGTTTCCTTATTTATTTAAGTTGTCCAAATTATAGACAAGTGGAAAAATGGCTCGCTGTAAAACCTGACATTTACCATGTTCCAGGAAAGGTTCCCAAAAAGCTACCATGTAAAATAATTGAAATGCCAAACCATATCACATTTCCATTCCTTCACTTTCTTAGCAGCCACACATTTTTGTTTTTTGTTTTTTTAATCAAAGGCCACGTCTGAAAAATTAATGCCATATTTCCACTAAGACAAAGGAAAGAAAATTCAAGTCTTTACCTCCCAAATTGTGAATGAAATACAAACAGACAGCTCAGTTAAGGTTCTACTGTGACATGTGGCAATGATTAACAGAGGTTTAAAACCTTAAATGCATGAAGTGTTAGGCTTCAATGGTGTGACTAGACAGGGTTTGGTGCTCTCAGATAGCAATAAATTGACTTTGTGTATACAGACTGCCGCTGATGTGCTCGGTCCAGAGGAATCCACCAGAGAACTGTTCTGTTCTGGTCTCAGACCACCATGACCTTTTAACACTGTCATTTGAAGTCATTGCTGTTTAACTCTGTCTTTGATGACACGCTGCATTAATATGACAAATTCATGCTCCAGTGAACTCCCAGTGCATGATCTGTAACACCAGTATGGACTTTGCTGCTGGTCTTTATGTGCGGCAACTCTTCTTAGTGTCTCAGTTTTTTACACTGATTCAAGGAAGATAAGCAGCTCCCATTTCAGCTTCTTTTTAGAGTCTACACCTTCTGACCTTTTGAAAAACAAAATCAGGTTTAAGGCACTTCTGCAACACAGCATCACATCTCAACTCTCTTAAATATAAAACATCATATTTGTTATACATCTTAAAGTTTTTCATTTCCTGTGTTTTCCAGAATTGATTGCGCTGGGATCCTGAAGCTGCGTAACTCAGACATCGAGCTCCGTAAAGGGGAAACCGACATTGGACGTAAAAACACCCGTGTGAGATTGGTGTTCCGGGTACACATCAACCAGCCCAATGGCAGGACAGTGTCTCTGCAGGCTTCTTCTAACCCCATTGAATGCTGTAAGTCACAACATCCCTCAGGCATGAATTCACAAACTTACACGTCTTTACTCTCTTAAAGCAAAAGGTGGCATCTACTATTGCAATCCAATAAACTGAGCTACTATTTAACAACATGCTGGACCAAATTCAGTACCTCTGCACCCTGTAAGCTTTATATGATCAGAGTAACTGGCCAAAGCAATAGATGCATTGTACATGGTGCCAGAGACATATGTTATCTATCCCAACTGGTATTTTTGTGACTGAATGTACACGTTACTGTGGTAAGATTTCCCCATTAGCACAGGCTCCACAAAGGTCAGTTGCAAGCCCCAGTTTTTGGCACGATTGAACATATGAACATATTGAATGAAACTTCTGTTTCTTTGTTATTCATTTGTGTATAAGTGGGATGTTATTTGCACCCCGGGAAGCCAATTAAAGTCAGATGGTGGGACCGAGTTGGCATTGTAGTTTACGATCCGAAGTGGATGTTAATCCACTTTGATCCATCATTACTTAAAAGGGTTATTTAGTTAACTAAGTATTCTCTTAGTGTTTATTGTAAGCTGAATGAGAAAGTAAAGAAGTGTGTCTATAGATGTGATAATAAATACCTTTAATTGTTTGCCTGGCTGTAAATCTCCTCATCAATTTTATTAGCTGAACAATTCTAGCTAGCCATATTTATACAAAGCAGACACGTGTAGTTCGCTTAAGGCTGAATAGTTTTGAGCTCAAAAATAGGATTTGATTCACTTATCAGCCTTTTGTTTAACGTCATTCACACAGCTGTTGGCGCAAAAGCTCAAAGCAAAGGGGTCATGAAATCATCATTATAAAGTTGATGAGTCTGTTTTCCTAACCAAGACCTGCTGTTTTACTGGCTCTGTGTTGGCCTTGTGCTTCTTAGAGTGGACAGAGATCGGCCAGTGAGCTCACTCATTGTTAATAAATATGTGTGTGGGTGTGTGTGTTTCCCTCAAACAGCCCAGCGTTCAGCTCAGGAGCTTCCCTTGGTGGAGAAGCAAAGTGTGGATAGCTACCCTGCAACTGGAGGCAAAATGGTGCTCCTCAGTGGCCTCAACTTCCAACCTGACTCCAAGGTGGTGTTTGTGGAAAAGGCGCAGGGTAAGCAGCCGTCACCACGTTTACCTTCTTTTAGTTTCCCCCTCTTAATGTCTGCTTCAAATGTCTCCCTCTCCTTCTCTGCCTCAGTCTTTTCCCCAGCCTCTCCTCCCGTCAAAATAGAGCGAGCCCTGCCAGAGAGCCACATGTGGTGTGCATTAAGCCACTATATTTTTAACCAAAGCGTATTTACATTTGCTAAAGTTTCCATTGCCTGTTCACTGGTGCTCGCCACAAGTTAAGGAATGAATCACAACGTGCAATGTCTCTTTCCCCCTCTCTCCCTCGCTGTCTCTTTTCCGTGAATCCTTTTCTTTTGACATTCAACCCTCCCTGGTACTTCCACTACGGTTGCCTCCTCTCCCACCCATTCTAGCAGATAGTCACCATGGCTGAATGTCACTGACTCATGGTGAAGAAACCATTTCTTATTTTTTTTAGGAAGATTTTTCTGTCATGCATTTCCTCTCTGTGTGGGAGTGAGAAATGATCAATAAGCTTCTAATCAAATTTGCAAGGGGGATGGTTATTTCCTTTGTTGAACCCACTAAATCAAAGAAAAGGTCAAGTACAGTGATACCTCCAGAGTCTGTTGAAAGGCAATGTTGCTGCATATGATAATTATGAGAAACAAGTAAGGAAGGTTGAATGTGTGAGAAGGTAGGATAGTTCAATATTAAGGTATTCTATCATCACTGGTGAAAGGTTTGGTAAATTAACCCCAAATTCAACATTAAAGTCATAGATTATCCCTTGATAACTTTTTTTTGCATGAATAAACAGATCAATAAATTAGGGTATGTTGAAGTATGCCGAACACAGTTGAGTACAACCTGCTCTGGATCACACACTTATGATTTAAACTGGACCCAGAAATCATGAAAAATGTCAAAGAAAACAACTTTCAAAGTGAGCTCTTCAGACCTTTATTGTGTTCAACTAAATTATAAATCACTGATCAAGTGCAAGAAATACATAGTACATATATTTTATGTAGTAGTTTTTAAGTCTAACTTCCAACTACCCTCCAAAAGTGCATCTTGTGTCATGGAAAGGCATCATCCTTACGTCATCATACAAATAAACAGGAAAGGGGGACTTGCATTTTCCCAAAATAAAATTTCAGTTGTTTAATTTTGACCAATTAATGCTTGAATGCACCAGCAGTCTCTTATAGGTCAACAAATGATTTAGGTGAGAATGCTGGGTTGGGAAACTAGTGGCATAACAGACACAAATAAAATATTCAAAGATGAGACAAGCTAATAAGCAACATACCTTAAACCTTTTTTACCTGCACATCATCCTGATATGAGTGTACTCTGAAGCAACGTAGAGGTTACTTGAAAGGCAAAGAGGGGGTTAGGGGAGGCGGATGAACTTGATAATATGGGGTCTCCCTCCCCATGGCTTTACTTAGTCATGGAGGGGGATCCCCTGGAGAGGAAAGCCCATTCATACACACCTCACCACCCTCTGTTATTTGAGCCTCATGACCCCCTCTGACTACTATTTCCCTTTTTAACCCCCTCTCTCTCTTCCTCTCTGTCTACCATGGCTTCTCTGTTTTCACCCCCTCATCCTCCTCTCTCTCTTTTTTTACCTCTCTCCTCAATACCCGTTAAAGACATTAGCCGATGTGCAGCCCTGGGCTAGCGGGATCCCCACAGTCATGCTTGCCATCGACATTTCAGTGGCTTGTTTTCCGTCTATGTGGTGTCCAGAAGGAAAGAGAGAGATCGAAAGAGAGGTTGTCTGTCTACTACTTAGTCTGCTTTTATGTAAACTTTAATGACCCACCACTTCCAGGGTCTCCTAAGTCAAAAAGCCCATTACCGACAGAGCTACACACTCTACACACATGCACACACAGGAACACATATATCACTCACTAATGGCAACTATGTATGCGCTAGTATGAGCGTGGAAAAGTAGTTATGTTCAAATATACTGCAAAATATTGTCTTTTGGCATTTTCATCAGAGAATCCCGCTGTTTCATGAAGGTTCTCGGTCATTTCTCTGATTATTGATTTAGAAAGACAGAACTGGGATGAGGAAAAAAAGAAACCAATAAAATTATAATTATATTACAGATTTATCCTTCAACCTTGGTTTTATTTTCCCCTGGAAAAGTTCTTGACTAAAATCACCCATGAAATGCAGATCCTTGCTGCGCAATAATTACAACTCACAGAGATGTGCTTACACACAGTCGGACACACATGGACACGTACAGCTGCACAACACCAATCACTGCTTTAGCCACAGTGGTGACAGCCATTACTGCTGCTGGCATCAAAGGTCAGAATGGTGGCACACTTTTCAATATCGACTTCAATAAACACCTCCCAGAAAATTCCACAAATCCTAAAGAGCAACAGACCTTTTTTCAGTCACCCTGTACAACTTTGTGAATGAATTTACAAAGATAAAGTTCATGTTTTACTGGTGTGAACATACATTAGTATATGCAGTAATACTTGTTATAATCTGCACACAAAAAACATGTCTTTGAAGGCTGAGAGTAAACTTTAGGGTTGGATTGGAAAGATGGGAAAGTTTTTTAAAACCTACATGAAAGTATTATTTGAACCTGTTGTACTCTGAAATCATATACAATCCCTCTGTTGGTTTTAGCTGCCGCTTGAATCTCTCTCCTCCTGTCTGACTTGTTTTGATTGTCTTTCAGTCCCCCCCCCCCCCCTGAGATGTCCTCAGTATCAAATGAGCAGAGTTCGTTGCGGTTGCCACTGCGGGAGATCTTAATGCCCCTTGAAAAAATAATTACTTCTTTGTTTCAAATGCCATGTCCATCCCCAATGCTTCAATTCATCACCCACGGGATAACTGATGTAAACTTGGGTGCGTCTTCTGCGTGTGCATGTGTGTTTGTTGTTGTGCATGTGTGTGTGCACACTCGCTGCTAGCCTGCAGGCCTGTTTGCGTTGTTCAGTAGGAAGTGTTTTCTGTGAGTGATACACAAGGGATTCCCTGTAGAGGAGGTGAAACGGAATAGACAAGACCGTTAGAGGGAAGGAAGAGAGAAGAGGATGAAGGGAGGAAATAAAGACTAAACTTCCTTAGAAATTCTGCCTATGATCTAGATTATTGACATCCAGGCATAGAAGTGATCGTATCCTGCTTGCCCTGATTGCAATTGGATGAGTGGAGAAATGTCAAGTGTAGGGTCAAATTCTACGGGTCCTGGCAAAATGTCTTATGTGTTCATGTGACTTATTTATGGCTGACATTTATTATTTAATGAATGAGTCAACATAACCATTTTACATTTTTTAGCTTTATCCCAGAACTTGCAAAACAGAGACCAAATAAACCAGACTGTATTCAGATAATGATAGTTGGAACTTCCAATCCAAATTTGTGTTCCTGCTACAATTTAAAAAGTAATCATTTTTGGCATATATATATTTTAATTGAGTACTTGGTAGTGGGGACTACCCTTCACATTGCCACAGTGATTGCATATATGAAATTTTCCATCATCATTTGCACTGTAGTTCTTGGTCCAATTTGACTGTTATTCCATGATGTGCTGAGGTTGTGTCAATGATTTGGTTTGCCCAAACCGCTCTTCTGGCACAGGAGTAGGAGGACATACCTGGCGCACCTATTGCAGTGTGTGTTCTGGCTTGCCCTGCTTTCCATGGACGGAATGAGGGCTACAGGCGAGGAAAATAGAGAGCGATACAAACAGACAAACAGAGGGACAGAGAGAGAGAGAGAGAGAGAGAGAGAGAGAGGGGCTGGGGAAAGCCTTCACTCTGACTCAAGGGGGGGGGGGGGGGGGGGGGTAAGGGAATTCCCTGGTGAGCTAGATAGTTTTTACATCTGGTGGGATTGGAGCGTTGCCTGGAGCTCGGCAGCACCACACAGCCTGGGCTGCAACAGGAAAAAGTCTGGTCTTTTTCTTTTCTTTAGGCGAGTCGAGCTTACAGCCAAGACTAAGAGAAATTCTGAGCTAGAGTATAATCTGTAACACTAAGAAACAAAACCCTGAGGCTATTACTCTAGTCATGCAAAAATATCCTCAGCAACAGGCTGAAATATTTGGATTCGAGAAAAGCCAGCACCACAGACTATGATCGGAGTTCATTCACAGACTGTTTATATTTGGTTGAACACCCCTACCTTGGGCAAGTCTAAACAACAGATGAATTGGTTGATGTATTGTACCTCTAGCGGTATGTCTAGACTGCCTTTGTCTTCCTGCATAATCTTGGCTCAAAATTTTGGAACTATGGCTGTATCAGGTCAACCTTCATCCCAACATCAGGGAAGAGATTTGACAAGTTTGACTTACATCTTGTCTATTAAGGATGGTATAACGAGCTTAATAAATGATAATGTATGATAGCTGTATTTTTAGGAAGTTCACTTTAGCTTTTGGGTGTAACCTGCCCGTTGGACATAACCAATTCTTTGGGTGTTCCTTTGGGAAATAGATGAGTCAATACCCGAAGAGAGAAACATGCCATTCTGTATTGGAGAGGGAGACATCAATACACTCTTAAAGAGATTCATTTGACAAACTTCGCCTGGATTGTAAAAGCTTTCAGCAATTTTGACTGTGACAATGCAAGAAAGATGAAGCCTATTTTCAATAAAGCCAATAGTTGACTTCCAGTGTGATGCAACAGGCGATGGTGCCATTTTGGAATGCCTTTGCTTTGGGCACATTTATGCATCAAAGAACTGTGCTGAATCATATCAGTATTCATAACAGAAAGATGTCTAGATTGTCCTGTGGCCTCCACCCTTTCTCTAGACTTGTCTGAACACGGTATTAGCAGTTTCTTCAGATCAGACTTTATTATTTTCGATTGCCCTTTCAGTGGCAGGTCTTAAGGAATGCCCACCCAAGAAAAGTGATTCCTCTTTATTGAAAGTTGGGTCCTTCATGTCCACTAACTGTTAAAACAACCTTTTTCAAATAGAAAAACTGCTTATATCACCTCTTCATACATTTAAAGGTTTGTAAAGTATTAGTCTTACTTTGATCCTCTGTGATATACCAAGCAGCACACCATTCAGGGTGTCTATCCTTGATGTCTTCCTTGCGAACATAAATGTTGGACAATTGTAAAAGTCTGGATGATGTTCCAGTCATCCCTCTCAGTCTTTAGATGATTTTCAGACTCAATGCCACACAGCTGGAGTCTTGATAAAAGGATAAAACCAGACTCTACTGGTCGGCATTCTCTTCAGACTGGACCCAAAGGTCAACTCAGCTCATGCTTTCCCTGTAATACACCAATAATAACTCACTTCCTGACTATAAAACCATCGTAAATTCACTGTCAGGTCATAATTTATACAGGAACCTTTCAGTTTGAAGCAGATCCACCTTTCTCCAATTTCAGCAGTCCTTAGATTGGCGGAGGTGAGGTGCTTAAGAACGGAATGCAGCTGCACCTCTTAGATCAGTCATGGGGGAACCCCTTTGGCCTTTAGGCTTTGTTCCTCATACAAATACAATTCTTATATCTGTGAAGATGTGTTAAAATGACTGAAGTAATGTCAATCAAGGTAGAAGTGGTACAGAGGCACTGAAACAGAACAAAAACTTGAAATATGTAAACAGCAAGGAGACAATAATACTACTTAAAATCATTTCTGGAAAACAGAAATATCTGCAAAACACGTCTGGGTTGTTTCACAAGACAACCTTCGCAATTAGACATGTGAATCATATTTTCCATTCTTCGAAATACTACAGTGAACTCTCTTTGGTCAGTGGACGTTGTTGTGCACGACACAACACTTAATGAAAGGAAAAATCCTCACTGGCTGTCAGGAAGGAAAGTCAAACCTGCAAGGTCAACATGAGGACAGAGATGTCATTACTCAGCAACTCTTGGGAATCTCAAAAAAGAAGTAATGGATTTAAAAACTAGCTACTAACTAACTACTAAGAAGTGTTACTTGCTGAAAAATAGGATTCATATCTGTATGGTCCTAGTGATTACACCAATTAAAGGACAAAAAAACAGACGTCTCAAGAACTTTATCATTGTCCAAACCTAAGTCAAAGAATATTTTGACAAATGGAAGGATTGTTTTTGTGAGATTTACAATAACAAGAAAACTGTTGCAGTGTTTTTACTGTATACAAGGTGAAATGTGATCAAGTACAAAAGATGACTCTTCGAAGCCTCACCCTATATTTGCTCTAATTGCCTGATGAATGTTGGTATTAGTCTTTGTGGATCTCATTTGCACAAGTGAGTCATGCAGACCAGCAGACAGATGGCTGGTTTACCTTCAAGGGCAAGCCTAAGAATAAGTGTTTCTACTTGTGTGTCTCCTTGAATGTTTCTCTGTGGCTTGATATTCGCTGATCAATCTCCAGACACAGCTCCTGCGCCACCTTTTGTTTAGTGTCTTCCTCATTCATCATTCAAGTTGAAGGCCACCACAAAGCTAGAGGATACTGTGGTAGCGTGTTTGCAATGTGTGTGCATTGCACGTGGGTGGAGGCTGTGTGAAGGAGGAGGTGTTGTCGGGAACAGAAGCTTTTTGCAGATGTTGCAGGGAAGAAAGAGTGAGTGGAAAGTTCTGTGGTTATCAGTTGTACAAGCGCTCTCTGACTCGCAAAAAGGTACTGCCAAACGTGGCCCCATCCCAACTCTGTCTCAGTTTTTTTAAATTTGCAAAGTCTGATGGAGTAAGGCTTCGACAGTTTTGGAGGAATAAAGCATTGTAAGGTAACAAGGGTATAGGAGAAAAAGATCAAGAGGAAGGAAGGCAGAGAAAAGTCAAAGAAAAGTTTGAAAACATGTTTACTAGTGGAGGCTGGGGTTGACGTCTTAGTCTAAGGTTTCCCTCTTGGAGTGTCTCCCAGTGCGGAGGCGGGTGAGATTCCCTCTTGGTTCCCCAGACGTAACATGAGGAACGCTCATCTTTGTTTGTCTCTGTGTCTCTCCCTCTCTTTCTCTGACCTTCCCCCTGCATGTGCACACTCTAATTGACCTTCTATACTCTTTGCCACTGCATTTGTCACAGCATTACGTGTGCCTAAGTCCTTTGGACAGCTCAACTGCCTATGACATGCTTAGTATCATTGCTGTGCCCCATGGGAGTCCTACAAATGAAAAAACCCTGCTTCTATTCCCTGGTCATCTAAATATCAACCATCTCCACAAGAGTAATGCACATTTCTCCATATGTAACTGCTATTTCCCTCAGTTCAAATAGAAACCCCTTATCTGATCTGTTCCCCATCTGGTTTTCTCCTTTTCTGGGTTTTAATATTGCCGTTTTGGAAAGAGATATCTACTGGTGTTCACTCCCTGAATAATAAAGTTGACCACCCGCCCCCGCTCCCACAGGCCACCAATAATAAGCCAACCATTACTGGGATCCTCTATATTCTTTAACTGTCGACATGATGTGAAAAACATAATGCTTTGGTGGGGGAAACCTGGTTTTACATCTTCTTGATCTCCAGAGACTTCTGTTATCAGATATTTGGAAACTGAGTCTGATTATCTTATCTGATGGCTCTCTGTCCCAGAAGGAAAACACAGCAGTTCAGCAGTACTGATGTGAAGGCACAGCTGCTGCCTACCACTGTTAACATACAGTAGCTGTGCCACATCGCCCATGCTATTGCCTCACATGGTGTGCCACTGACACAAAGGCTGCTCTGTGTCACTTCTACTTCTGTCAGCCTTAATGAGTCATCTGTTCTGAAAGGGGCAGTGATCTATATGCTGATTGCTGTAGCAGAGCCCAGAGCGTCTGTTAGCTAAGGTGTGGCATGAAATCACAGAGAAACCCTAAAGAATGTGAGTTGAGCTTCTGCAGACTACCGACAGCTGCAGCAGCTCACTGGTGTTTTATTGCAAAGCAGTCAGAGAAACCTCTTCACCACAACAAGATGGAGTTGAGAAGAAAGAGAGAACAAATGAAAGCTACTGCTTTTTGTTATTCAAAAGAGAGACTTCAGAACAGAATAAAGAGAGAACAATCGCATAATCAAGAATTCAAAAAAGAATTCAAAAAAGACACAAAACAGTAAATAACTGATGGTGGTTGACACTGAATAAGGGACTGGGCAATTTAAGGTAATAAACCTAAGGCAACCTAAGGCTCATGCAGCAAATTACAGTCATATCAAACTCATGGGTTGGTTCTCTTGACAGATTTATAAAGCAGCTCAGAAGTGGAAATGGTGCAAGGCGTGTGGAGTTCTAGCTTACTGCCAGTTTCCCAGATGAAGGGACTGTTGGGTCAGGAACATCTGCCGTGGGCTCATTGGAGGGAACACTGAGTCCACATTTGCTCTTTAAAGAACGTCCCAAAAACAACCAGTACTCCTTGTGGATGGTGTCCTTCAAATGTGCCCTTTTTTATGCTGTATAAAACATACTCTTCACATCCATTGTTACTTATACACCAGTATCTGGCCCAACAATGAGAAAAACATGTTTTTGTAGTTATTTAAATGGAAATTTAGAGTTTTTAATTCCTTTAAAAAAATATGTTGATGTTAACCTATCATTTTGTGTCTGATGAAATACTGTCTTGAGATTTATGTCTCTTTATGACTCTCATGCAAAATAAATACATCCAGTTACTGATCAGGGTGCAGGACCTATAAGCTCAATAGCCTGTTAGCATCCAGTTATGTGGATTTAAACAGCAATCTGTCAGCTATGTCATGGGAACTTTAACTTGAAAGCAGCAATGGCTATGGAATGGCTAATAACCATCCCAAAAATAGTGATTTTAATTGGGACATTTTTACACCTCATAAACTGAATGTCATAGATCCTCTGTAATATTCTGAACACCATTAAAGTTGTGTCTTGTTCATAATGAGACCTGTTCAATCTTGTATTTCTCTGTCACTAGATGGGCATCACCTGTGGGAAACAGAAGCCAAAGTTGACAAGGACTCCGTCAAATCAGTAAGTGCACAGCACTGACATGGCTCATCTGAGTCCCAACCTCCCAGGAGACCCTCTCCTTTCCTCTCTCTGTCTCCTCCTCATCTGTCCCATGTCATGATGTAACCTTTGCTAAATCATTGCTTAATGATGATTAGCCCATGCAATCCTGAATGGAATTTTCACCAAAATCTCACCCAAGTAAACAACGTCTGTCTTATTGTTTGTGCATCTGAGATGCTCGAAAACACACACACACACACACACACACACACACACACACACACACACACACACACACACACACACACACACACACACACACACACAAATCACAAAATCTCCTCTTAAACACCACATATACACACACAGGCTCTTACCTCAACACAGCGCTCCCAGCACAGCCAGACATTTAGTTTACAGCAAAGTGTTGTGGTGTGGTGAATTGGACTTAAACACCTCATCTGCACAGGGCTCATGCAGTCAAGAGTGGATAACAGCCCTGCGTTTACCTGCTGCTTTCATGGGAGTCGTAATGAGAAAATAAAGCAGTGTGCTCATTTCACTAAGGTCCAGTCACACATTAAGATTGTAATAATATAAAGCCAAGTGAAAGGGAATCGTCAGGAGAGGGAATGAAGTGAATGTTGTTCTACATGTCACAGAAAGCTGGTTGTGCTCTGGAGTTCATTAAGATTTCACTGAGGTTCATTAATTCTTCTTTTAGCGGGGAGAGTAAAGGATCTGCAAGAAAAAAACCTCTTTGCTTGTGTGTGATCACTGTGTGCTTTGAATCACTGATGCCTTTCATCAACAGTTATTTACCCTCCGTCTACATCTTTTTTCAGGATTTACACTTGCACAGGGACTCAAATAAACCACTTGCATATAAATACAGCAAAGGGTGTTTTTCTCCTTGTTGTCACTGTTGTTTCACATAAGTAAATGACTTGGTTGCATCAGGAGGGTAAACATGGACTCCAATGTATAATTGGCCTGTAGGGCTGGCTGATGTGCAATGGCTTATGTCCCAGATGCTGGAAAAACACTGGCCATGCGAGGCTTCGCCAGGGGTAGCGGAGTGTGCAGTTGGGTCGATGACAGACTAATACAGCAGTGTTTTTATAGGTAGATTCAACAAACAAGAAGAAGGGAAGAGAGCACTGGCCTTCCTCTTACAGATTACCCTAAATTGCTCCACCCAGCTGCCTGACTGTTTTTATTGCAGTCCAGAGCAGGCTCACTTTCGCTGGTCATGATGGAAAGGGAAGGCCATGTGCACACACACTAAAACACACACTTTACACACTCAATCAGCCACCTGCATGTTTTCTTTGTTGTCATCTGGTGAGCAGACCCGAGCTGAGGACGCAGGCCCCTCACCTACCAACCCCCTCCCCCCCTCACTGCATCCCCCCCCCCACTGATGAGCAACAAAAAGAATGCTTCCTGTCAATGCTCCCAATTGTGGCCTATTTAGGTCCTCACAAGAGTGACCGATATCCCATGAGTTAGACACAAAAACTCAGACAAATACTCTACAACTTCTTTTTGTCAGAAAGAAAGCAGTCAAAAGTTCACATCCGTCCAGACTTGCCAAGTCTAGCCTGGGAGGGACAGGCAAGCTTCTCCACAGGGATGCATGGCTGTGCAAACAAATAAGCCGGCTACCTCTCGTGCTGTACAGGGACAAAGATAATGCTCTGGGGTTTTCCTCAGAGACAAACACGGGCGCTGGACCAACCTCATGGGCTCTACTGCTGCGTATACATAGTCCAGACGAGCTCATTTAAACCAGGTCTCAGACCAGCCTCTGGCAACACAGTACCCAAAATACAGACCGGCTGCAAAATAAACACAAGTGTTGATTAATTTGCTGCAAAAAAATACTCTGATTCACTAACAACTTTTTGATGACTTAAGAAGTCTTACGTCATTGTATGAAATATCTTTCTCTGTATTATTTATCTTTTAGAGTTCTCTTGTTGTGGAGATCCCACCGTACAGGAACCAGAGAATATCCAGCCCTGTGCAGGTCAACTTCTACGTCTGCAACGGCAAGAGGAAGAGGAGCCAATGCCAGCGCTTTACCTACCTGCCTCCTAATGGTAATCATCATTCACTTTTCCCTCTACTGTACATTGATTAACAATGACATTGAAAAATACCTTCTACAAGCTGCACACTTTTCATCATCACATGGAGTATTTCTCCAGGTCTTGACATCCATCTATTATTGTTTACTACAGCTGTCAACATGCCAAGTGAAATTTGAAGTAGTTTTTGGTTGGTGTTTTTTGACACTTTTTACGCCTGGCACCACTTGGCTGCAGCACTGAAAGCAAGAGCAGAAGATGTGAGGTGTGTTTATTCTGTAGTGAGACTGCGTTCCCGAGCGATGAGGTACAGCTGCTGAGTGACAGTGCCTCCGAGCGCTGTCGATGAAGAAAAGTCAAATCCCTTGGCAACTCTGACTTTCCCGTCCCACCTGACACAATGCAACCCCTGGTTCACTAACACACCTATGGACGCACAAACACACATCCATGCACATGCACATGAAGTCACTTACACTTCCACCAGGCAAAGCTTTACCCTGTCATTCATGTAGCAACCTGAAAACCAAGGAATACCTCTCTCTCTGTGTTCATCATGTGTCCTTGGCCTCAGTGTTTATAGATGGCTTTCACTTTGGAATCTGGAGAATGTACAGCTGAGAGTTTAGAGACGTGTTCAGCCTCAAAATTAGATTGTGAGCTATTGACTTTTCACAATGGGTGCAGGTGAAATATCAGCTTTGGTATCACTTTCAACCACAAGTATTTTATTTTTATCTTTACGCATACAGAGAAAGTGGATGAAAGATGTTTTCTCTACACAAGAAGACCTTTTCTGAGACCACCTGAACAGTTCTTGCTGTAGACACATTTAGAGATGCTCAAACTCCTACTTATTCCCTGCAGACATTGTCCAAGATGTGTTAGGGATCCAACCTGCAACCTTCCATTAAACAAGTCTCAACTCTGTCTCATGACGATGAGCGAGATCCATTAAATTAAACAATGGTATCTTGTTTTCATTGATCAGTGTCTAATGGGTCTAATGCTGCTGTGATAGCAGACTTTGTGCTTTGAGTCCATAGCTGTTAATACGATGTGACATTTAGATTATCAGTAGATGTATTTATGGCGACAGGAGATAAGTGATTGGGATTTTGGAAGAGACTCTGAGAGAAAGTGCAGGGCAGGGGCCCTATTTGGAGATGCATGATTATACGAGGCACGAGTGCATTATGGGTACCTGAACCACTGTGGCCATATATAGCATACCCCCTCTTATTCCGTACATATAAAAAAAGACAGAGCGAGAAGGGGGAAGATAGAGAGATGTGCTATGCATCTCCAAGTAATTTCCCTGAGCATAAACACGGCTAATTAAAAGATGACTTGTTGTGTTCTCTCTTTCACTGCCAAGTAAACCACAATCACAGTGAAGACCACACAAGCAGGGCCGATATCTTCTAAGAGGAGCATAATTAACTCACAAGTGCCAAAGAGACCATGTATCACGAGACTTAGGGTTCTATTTTGAGATGTACCATGCTTTTAAGGACACACATTAAAACATACAAGGCAGCATATTTCTTAGTACAAATGATCAGTATTTAAAGCAGACTGCTAAAAACTGCTTTTTTTTGGCAAACGTTTGTAGTTTCATTGGAGAAGAAATATAATGCAACATCATTTATTTCTGGTCACAGCCAGTTAAGTTGCAAACAGTGTCACATTGAGGTCTGTATTACAGTCTTATGCTTATTAACAGACTTAAATCTCAATATTTTAAAATTTAAAGTCAATGGAAATACAACTGAAATGGCAAACACCTACTTTTCCTTTTTGAGATGCAAGCTGGCATAAAGACCAATCAGCTTGTGCTGATTCACAAAGGAAACCATACAAAGATTATAATCAGTGTAAACAGAGTCTCTGCAGCGATGATGATTGTAATACATTCATGGTTACAATGCAGCAACAAAGAATGAGGAAATCCTAGAGAAGCTGTTTGCTTTTGAGGGTTTCAGCGTGTATGTGTCAACACTGAGAGAAACAACTTACACTGTGGCCAGGTACTCAGGGTGGGCTGACCCCCCCCACCCACCCACACACACACACACACACACACACACACACATACATATGCACACTGTTGTCAACACTTTTGTGCTTGCTTGTATGAAAAGACTCTTCCGGCCCGCCGGCCCACTTCAAGCACAGTTGTGGTCACTGACGTTGTTTAGAGAGAACATTTCTTTCACACTCTGGTGTCTGTTCATCTATAAACGGCAAACCCAGACCCGAAAATAGCCTGATTGTTTGAAACAGCGGAAGGATGAAGCAAACACCCTCTGGGACACAGATGCTCGAGAAAACCACCTTTATTTTCCATTCAGATCATGTGACCATTTTGCTATCTTTGACACTGATGAAAATACAGTTGGTGAAGGCTGATGACTACATTTGAAAAAAAAAAGTGGCACTATTATGTTTGTTCCCTGAGCTCAAAAAGACATATCACGGAACACTGCTCGCTTTCAGACATGAGAACAGACTTATTCTGTTTCCACCATGAATTTCACACTTGCACATAGCGAAACCTGTTTTCACACCTTTCAGATGCCAAATAAAGATAAGCCATAGTGATATTGTTACAGTGAAGCTGTTACCTGTTTCATAGTTCAAATGTGTAGTTTATGCAGGGTTTGAGTCACTCAGAAACATCCTCTTACTATGAGTACAACAGAACATGTCAAAAAGCACAAAGACTAATAAGTAAGTATCTTAATGAACAGTGTTTTGCAGTCCAATTCAGTGATTAGCTTTCTGTGAACATTGACATGTATCCAAGAGTTTTCATTTGAAAGAATAACCAAGTTAAACAGTACACATATAAGTCATAATGTCCATTCTTGCTGCGTTTTAGTCACTAATGTTAGGTAAAGCCTTCTTCAGCCATTGGATCAAGCTGACATCTGCTGTTGAGATATAGCATCAGCAGCATTTGTGGTTTGTTGTCAAGCCTAACTGCTTGTCTGGGATGTTGAGATGTACATACAGAACAAATGTCGATGTCTGGCCCCTGGAATGAGTCTTGCTTTTCCAAGTTCCCATTGAATCGTTCTTGCGTGAGATGGGATGTGACGTGGTGCTCTGCAAATAAGAAACAGTTTTTTACCAACCACATGAAACAACAAATGGCAGAAAAAGTGCTGGCAGTGACGTAAGCAAAAACGAAGAACTTCTCGGAACCCCTTTATTTTTACAGGCCGTTTGGAGATTCTTCTGTAATATCAAGTTCTATTCTTAACGCAAACGGTTCCCGCTCCCCCTGCTACGTTGGTTTGTGGTCGAATTTGAAGAGAGGAGAGTCAGAAACATGTTCTCTGACACATATAGGAAAAGTTGATGATCCGCACTTTGTTTTTTTTTCTAAATACTTGAACAGTCACGTTTTTCCATTAACTGGACAAAGACGTCTTCAGCTCTGGGTTTAGTCAGCTCAACAGTGTACTGGGTGACCAGATTGCCCACACAGTGGGACATGGTGCACCAGGTACCTTTGAGTTAATTAACAACCACCTGCTCCTTGTTAAATGTCACTGCATATTCATGCTGCGACAAGATGACTTCAGCATTTCTGCTGCAAGACAATCCCTGATTCTATCCCATGGCAACCAACAAGCATTAGAAATGACAGCTATATAACATTCAGATAAAAAGCCTTAATGCTCAACTATTTTTTTGCACAACTCTGTAATTTTTTCTTGTTTGTCTTTTTGGCTGTTGACTTAACTTTTTAAATGTGGCCTGTATGAGACTCCTGTGTGAACTGGTCATGGTCCTAAACTCACCCATATGTGCATATAGCCCTGGCTGATAGGCCTTCTCTTCATGGCTCTACTGTCTGGATGTAAACAAGCAGAGTGAATGGATAGCATCTTGTAAGAGCAGCGCATCTAGTGTTTTGGTCTAGAAAATTGACAAAAAATTTTAAACACATCTTGTCAGGTTAAACTGGCATATCAACCTAAGTAACGCATAATCACATTCAGCACAGACATGTGGATGTTACCCTGCTAGAAGGGCCAAGGCTGGTGGTGCTGTGTGGGACATTAGCCACACACATACAGACAGTTTAAATATATTGTGATAAATTATATATAATTTAAAATTTCCATTTAACCAACTAGGACATTAAGACTCTAGGATCATCCCTTCTTTAAAGCACCCAAGCCTTCGACTTCTCGTAAGTATTAGATCAAAAATCAAGCATATGTACTGCGTTCAACAACATTTTCAGAGTAATTTTTAGAAGCCCCATATCGCTCTGAAACATTCCATCTATAACTATCAGGCACACCACTTGTGATTAAAAACATTCAAGGGAAGAAACGGGAGTCAATATATTCAGGTCTATTGTATACTGATGAGGATTAGGTGAAATATTATGCCTTATTCTGCCAATTTACACAGTCAGTGATTTTCATTTGTCCCTCCAGATGTGTTTATATTTGAATGTATCATATGTTGAACTTCTCCATATTTCTCTAATATCCCTGTTTGCTCTAAGTTTGTGAAATGAGACTTAGACTGTTAGTAGTCTTGTACTTGAAGGTGATAAGCTGGTTATGTTGAGTTCGTCCGTGGTACATAGCCCCGCTCCTGCCCGTCCTGTCAGTTTAGAACTGTGACAACAGTTACTCAGCGTGAAGTCAAAATCCCATGGATTCTGACCTGGCTGTTCATACTGAGGTTGCATTGCAAAAGATCTGACCTGCAACTGAAGTAGGACACACATGAAAGTGGCCTAAATCTGATTTATAAAGCACAGATTCCATGTGACTTGTGCTGTTCAAACTGTCTTAAGAAATAATCTTTTCTGAGTCACATATGAGCAAAAAAGGCAGATTTGGGTCAAATTTGCCTGCAATGTCATTGTAGCCTTAGAAACGTTTTGATCCAAAATTGCCATTAACTGATGGTTACTACAAGTGTAGATGGACACCATCAGGCAATACTTTACACTTCAGCATACATCCTATTAGCTTGGTCTTTCTAAAGAAATACATTGATATGGTCATAGACACACATATATGTCCTAATTCCCATTCAACTCAGAGGAAACGAGTGCTCAGTGAAATACCCAGATCAGGCCCGATCACTCTAATATAAGCAGACGGAGGGGAAACTGCCAGGGTTGGAGAGAAAGTCATGTGCAGAACATCAACTGTCTGTGGGCCATAACCCACAGGTTGGGAGGAAATTAAAGCCAGATGAAGTTGGGACTTGCCTGGTGAATCTGTTTTCTCACTGCAAATGCAAAGTGGAAAGGAGACACACAGTTGGATCAGGCCGGAGGGAGACCACTGTTTATATATTTAGCAGAGACGGGAGAGCCTGCTAACATTGGTAAAAGAAGAATGGCGATTTATCCAACATTGTTTAGTTTTATTTTGCTTACTCAAAGGAAGAAGGCATGCATGAAATATAAGGTTGACAAACATACACCTTTCCCTTCCAACTGGATGAATAGTGTGCCTACAAAGGATTACAGTATACCCCATCCCCTCTGAGTTTATTCATCCAATTTTTTTCGAGATTGAATATTTTTGTTTTTAAATTAGAGACAGAAGAATCTAGTGACGAGTTATATTTAGTGTGTTGGAAATGGAAAGCTACAATAAGATACAACTAGCCTCGTTCATTCTCTTGACTTTCTTGTGTTTAAATCATCAATGACCAGAAGGACTGGTAAAAAAAGAAAAAAACTAATTTTGGGATTTTTCTTAATTAGCTGCTTCAATAAAGTCTTACATATTAGTTTACCAGATCAATCAACGTGATTCATTATTTAAGGTTGTGACTTTATTTAACAAGATTTCACACAGCAAAATGTCAAATGTGTTTCAACTCATAAAATAACAAGCCAGTTCTTGATTTGAAGCTGAATAGGAAAATTGATCAAATTGGTTTATGTCATTTCCACATGACATCTCTGACTACATGACGCTGTGCCACCCATTCAAGTAACCATCAAGGGAAAGCAATGAGGAGGAATAGAATCACTGAGGGAAGCACTGTGGATGTTGTGTGCACCATGTGGCTAGCACATTATTCCCCAGGCTGTGGAGAAAGGCCTGTGAACCATGGGACTTGTCTTACGATAGTACCCCAGACACCAGGCGTGCTCCCTGGGCCCCGAAAGCAGACAGGGTTGACGTAAATGTGCTCCCAGCTCTGCGTTACACTACAACACAGCTCAGCACTCAAGAGGCTACAGACGGCATTCAAGTCATTTCAAATCCACTCCCATAAAATAAAACATATTCAAAACAGCCTGTGTTTCATATGACAAACTAATGCTGCAAAATCCTGTTTGCCTTAACTTTTGCTCAGAGCTTCTGTGAAAATACAAACACAGTTCAGACAGACTGAGCATTCATATCGCCATGTGTATGCCTTTGAGTAAATGTCACTTGGAGCCAGTTTATCCAAAAACTCTTAATGGTTGGCATCAATTGCTTACCACACCCATTAACACATTTTAACACATTTTAACAATGTGTAGAAGTAGAAACACTGTGCCCATTGTCCCTCTGAATCCTTTGCTATGCATATGGGTGTCTTAACACTGCGCTATTAGTTTCATGCTGGCACAGTACTTGCATATCATAGCATTCCATAATAACTCACAAATACGTTTTTTTCCCTTTCCTTTTATGTGGCTCCATCTCTTAATCCGCAGGCCATGTAGTTCCCATTCCAAAGATTCAATTATAAAAAGGTTGTTTTCCTTAACTTCTCTTGACAGTTAACAGTATGATATTCTACCTGTCAGTCAGGGCTAATCAGGAAACAGTGCAGACGGTCTGCCCTGGATTAGACGCTAGAAGAGAGGAGGCAAGATGATCAAGTGGGGTCACAGCACTCTCCTGCATTAGCTGATGCCTCAAGCTCCTGAAACCACAGGCACAGCTCTACAGCCTCTTAAGGAGCCCAGGCAGCCTAATCAAAATCAAATCATCTCCTTTTTTCACTCTCTGCCTCTATCTTTTGGTCCTGAGAGAAACAATTACTTCTACAGTGTGAAGGAAACCTCGGGGTCCTTGAGCAGCAGCAGCAGCCCAGTACTTAAAATAAGTATTTTATTGCATATCAAAATTGTAGGATACTCCAAAAAAAATAGGTCTTATTCATCATTAGAGCCAGCTGTGGCTTTCCACACTGATGACTCATCCATTTCACCCCCCCCCCATTCTTTTGCTTTTTTCATGGTGTGGTAAAGAGGGGTGGCGGGTGGGAGGCCTGAGGGTTTTTCTGTTAGAGGGCTCAGCCAAGTTGACAAAGCGCCCAAATCCACTGGTGGTTGTTTGTTTAGATTATGGAGGGTATTGCTGCCGCAGTTATGCCTGCTCACTGCTTTACCCAGCTTGACTCGTGCACTCATTGCACCACGTGGATTCCCTGCACGTTTTTTTAATCTCCACCTTTCTTTCTACCTTTTTCCCCCCAGTGCCGATAATAAAGACAGAACCCAGTGATGAATATGATTCACTGGGAACTGCAAGATTGCCAATGCATTCAAAGTCCTATTACAGCCAGCCCAGGCTCACTCCCATCATGCCTGTCGCTGATCCTGATGCCTGCTTGGTTGGTGGCTACCCTCCCTGCCCAGTTCGCCATGCTGCCATGCAATCATCATCTCCCAGCTCCAGCCCAACTCTGCATGACCTGTCCCCAGTGGCGTACACCAAGTGCCTCCCCAACAGTCCAACCCATGCAGCACCACCAGGCTCTGTTGCACCCCCAATCCAAGAGACCCCCGGCTGTGCAAGCCTTGACCAGTCAGCTTCGCCAGACCACAATACTTTTATGCTCCATTCCCAGGGCAGCCCCGACCACCTCAACAGTCCAGGGCCACATGGTTATCATCCAATCTATGCCAACAGCAGTCCCTCATCATCCCCGGTATCCCACCCATCCACTCCTGGTGCGACGGCAGAGAGCCCCTTCGTTCAGGCGTACAGCCCAAGTCAGGCCCAGGCAGCAGCCAGCTCAGCCAGCCTGTTACCAGAGGACGCCAGCCCCCCTTCCATGGCCATCACTGTCAAACAGGAGCCCCAGGAACTGGACCAGATGTACCTAGATGATGGTGAGTCATGAGAAACAAGGTGCATCTCCACTTTCCGCAAGTGTCTATTTGATTATCATTCTAACAACAGCAGGCTTTTGTATTTCTAGACGAAAGCTTCGCTCTTTGTCCAAGCCAAAAGTAGCTGTTTATGTAGCACATACCATTTTTTTGAACACCTTTTTGCTTATCTGCAAACCACCACACATAGCCGCACCCTGCTGAACATCTCAGTATTTCCTGGTGAAATTGTTGCAGAACTACGTCAGATCTACGTCAGATTTGTATAATTTTAGACACTGGCACATTGATTTGCTTTTCAGTGTGCCGTCTGTGCGGCTGACTTCTTTACTTAAAAACAATAAATTAACTTGATGGGATTTTGAAACAATCTGTCAAAACATCAGAGCGCTGAGGTCAGCTGGGGTGCAGCAGAACAAAAACAGTGGCACACGCATGACCAACCAAACTGTTGACACAAGGACTAATGAAGGAAACAAAACAATGGGTAGGGGTTTCCTGAACAGAAACATTTTTCCCCCCATCTTTCTGGGAGGGATGCTGGAAGGACGGAGGTAAAGGGCTTTGATTTCCCGTCTTTTCCCAACGGAGTCGACACTGTGTGGCTGTCGTCATCAGAGGAGGCTGTGGGGTCACCTCTCTCTCTCTGGCAATGATACCAGTCACACCCGAGGGACCATATGGTCGAGTTTATTGCCTCCTGTGTCCATCACACATTGTGTCTCTCAGGTCACCAACCTGTTATCTATGTTACCAGAGGCTTCACTTGTTGTGATGATATATATTCATAGAACACATTAATGGCATAGTGCCAGGTTGAAATGTTAAAATCCCCCTGCACTCCCAAAGAGATTGGGGAAAGACATCTCCACACCGAATATCTCCCTTCCTGTGCACCTTTTGTTCAGTTAACTGGCGTGTGTTTGTGTTCATGTATGAGTGTGCGTAAACTTCACTCAACACCTTTGGGAGTAGAAGGGTGATAGGCATGAGGGGACCTGGGGAGTTTTGCTGAGGAACTGTAATTGAGTTGAAATGTGGTTGTCAGCATATCTGTCAGTCCCAATGAGTCCCATTAGTCCTCAGCTCATAAACAGACTACACAGAGATATGGGGTATGTCTGTCTGTTATCAGCTCTACAAACTTGCTTTCAGCTTTGCAGTGTCCTTTCTTTTCTTTTTTTACTCCACGCTATGCCGGATGTCCTGGAAATCAAATTTGAAACAAGACTTCTCATTTAAAATTCCTTCTGACAGTTTAAATAGTTTTAGCATCAAGAAGCTTTAATTTCAGCATTGATTGAATAAAGTGAAACAGTAGCTTTATTTAGCATTTCGTGATAGGGTTGGCAAGGATCCTTTTACACCAACAGTATGAAGTTATACCAAATGTACAAAGCAGTGCTGAAGGGAAATGGTGTAACCTTGTTTTTGTTACCCTCTACTCCATCCACTGTCACTTTAGCTGGCTCCATCTTCCTCAACCAGGTGGCCAAATGTATTCAGCCAGTGATTACAGCTGCATTAGCGACGCACAGGAATGTGTATTGATTGACCAAGGACAGTGAGGCAGCCCGTTGAAAAACCTCAATGTGCTGCCGTTTTGCATCACCTAACGTCTGTGCAAGCATCTGTGGTGAGCTACTGGAGTCCCTGTAAGTGTGTGGTGGTAACAGCATACTCCAAAGGCATCTCGTGCTCCCAGGCCCTATCCCAAAGCCTTCAAATGAGCCCTAAGCTAAAATAAATAAGATCGGAAGGCAGCTTACAGGGCGTCCTGCTCCCCGTCTGCACACATTACCACTGTATGTTAGCAAGCTGAGCGCTCCATTAGAGAGGGAAGACAAGCGGATGACCTCATCGCGGCAGCAGTGATTTAACGCAAGCCATGCAGAGTAGCGTTCCTCCCCAGCAATCTGGGGCCGGTGATTTGGAGTCTGTGGGAGCGCACTTGATCTTCCCCAAGAGTGGAGCGCCTCCCACGCTTGAACGCTGAGGCCTCCAGCTCCCATCAAGCCGAGGAAATGTGCCTCCATGGCCAGGCCTCGGTTTTACACAGCCCCTGAGAAATCACTCAACTTATCAACGGTGAGCTACTGTACCGCAAGGAGCTTGGTTAGCATGGAGGGAGTCTGAGATGTAAACCCCCCCGACTCCCATTCACACGCTCTGCTTTGTAATCTGCTAAACTCTTCCCTCTGCTGTGATAGAAGCTTACTAACTACAATATGAGACATGAGGTGATTCTTCTTGTATCTGCAATTAGATGAAGAATCCAGTCTGCAGCCAAATCTCTGTTAATGCAGCAATCTTCTCCATGTTGCTCGTTGGTTCTCACCTGCTTCAGTCTCACTTCTCGTACTTGAGTGTTACCATCAGATCAGCAAAATTTGGAAGTTGCTGGAAGACATGTTGCATTGTTGAGTCATTGTCATAAACAATACATGGTGGGATTCACATAAAACAACATTTTCAGACATTTAAGTATTACTCACAGATCTTTGCACTTTACAAGGCATGAGTGTGAGAAACCCAGCAGTCAAATGACTTCAGTGTATAAGAATAGAATTTATATAAATGATGCCCTGTTAGCCATGCTAGTAAGGCTAAAAAAAGAAATGCGTAAATGATGGCATGCTTTGTCACACGTCTGAAGCCGTTACTCTGGTGAGATCAGAGTCTCTTGTCTCAAACAACCAATGACAAATGTGTTTATGAACACTCCAACACAAAATATATTCCCCAGATAACTTATTGAACAACCTTGTCTTGGACCTCTACTCTGGGTGTTTCAGGTGTTTGTGCTGTGGTTGTGTGCGTGTGTGTGCGTGCGTGTGTGTGTAAAAACAAATTCTTTGCTGGCTGTGGCCCTGTGAGGCTGCTGCTGTGTGTCCTGTCTCATTAGCTGCTGCTGTGATGGGTGATATCATGAAATGCAGCACACAGCAAAGGAGCTAGTGCTAATCAGAGGGCCAGATTTCTACCAGCTGCCTCTCTGGGAACAGAGGGCCCTTATTCTCCAAAAATAAGAAAAACACAGAGTGCAACGCAGCCTCTACTGATTTCTGACATTTGACATATGTGCTCTAATTGCCTCATGTTGCAGGGTAGTTTTCCTTCTGATTGTTTCCTCCTCGATTCAAGGTTTGTGCATTTTAAACTCACAGGCTTGTTTTCTCAAACTGAAAACAGAATTGTTGTCAGACGTCCTTTCCTTTCCTCCCATTGCCAACAAAAAAAAAAGCATTAACTTTCCTGAGGATCTCCGTCCGCCACCAAAGCTTCTGAAGGCAACTCGAGGCTTTCCTCATGGAAACTTTTACACATCCTGGCAAGCTGCCTAGACCCCAGGACTCCGCAAAACCTCTAATGATGATTGAGAGCGCGTCCGCACCGTGCTGAAAACATGCTGAGTCGCTAACGCTGGAGTGTGCCGCGAGGCTGGCTCTGAGATCGGAGGGGGGCAGGAGAGAGAGAGAGGATTTAGGGGGGGTTAAGGGTGTTGGTTAAAGTGTCTAATGGGACTCACTAAAGCAGTTTTGCTCCTGTGTGTTTAGATAGAATGTATTTGTGTGTATACGTGTGTGTGTGTCTCTTTGAGTTAGTGGAGTCAGGTAGATGTGGAAGCATTGTAAGAGCCAGTGACAGCACGGGCTTTCACAACACTCCACCTCTGACCTGCTGGCCTGTTGGGAGCAGGTCAATATCCAGCTAATAGTGCAAAGAACCAGAGGCTGTCTTGTGGTTAAGTGCAATGTCAAGACCATAGTCTCCTCCTTGACATAGTGATATTGACAGGTGCAAGAAGTAGGGTGATGGCCTCTCTATTATTTATGATTACAAAGAGGATGCGAATTTGGATTCATTTTCTTGTAGTTGATGCGTTCTTAATCCAGGAACCTTGTTGTCCTTGCAGTTTTTGACTTTTAAAAGTGTAAGAAAAAAGTTTGGGCATCCTGGAAAATGTGTAGAAATAAAAGGAAAAATTAGTAAGTGGCGACGCTCTACATTGGGAATGTCAGTCATTGACCTCTAAGATGGGGATCCACATTGGAGAGCTGCATTTTGATTCAACTTTGTCTCAATATGATCAAAGACCGTCCACTTCACATACAAATTGAGCTGCTTTGGCTCTTATTACTCATTATCTGATATTACAGACGTCATCAAGCTAATCACAAACGAAGCTGCACTGAATGTCGAGCTAACCAATCTTCTTAAGGGTGTCAGTCAGAAGTGCTATTAAAGATACCATAGATTAAAGAAAAAAATCAAGATACATTTATATAATTAAAACTTCCACCAGTTCTCGTGTGGTTGGTTACCTCCTGAGCCTTCATACATTGTTGCATTACTACTCTTAATAATGACACCACTAAATTACCCCCAGGCATTTTCTTTCTGCATTATATGTTATGGAGTAACAATGGTGTATGTCAAAAACCACAAGGGCCAATAATGCTGTGCCTGCAATAGGCTGATGTATCGATTGGTCTGGCTGTAGTTATAAAGCAGATCACAATTTGCTTAAACTCAATGATAGTTTGTAATAAAAAGAGTGTAAGCTAAAAGACAATATTGTAATCCAAAGAAAACCCTGGAGTTTTCACAATTTAAGAGGAAAACCCTTTCAGTTGGATGGAGGCTGTCTGGAGGAGTATCACACCATCTGTTTCCTGTCACATTACATTTGCCTTTATCCCATTGACCAAACTTAAGAGACTATAGATTTCTGTTTTGCTTTTTTTTGGTCACTATACAGTATCAAACCAAGTCACTTACAGACACTATAGTCCCATTTGCTTCCAGTTTAGCAAACACATGGCTGTAAGTGGTTACATATGATTGTGGGTCACACTATTAGTGCTTTGATTTTCAACTTTCTGTGTAAAACCATTGGAAGTATAATTCGTTTTGATAAGTGCAGGAAGATGAATCTGTAAAAAATCCAATCCATTCATTACAGAAGAGCCCTGGCTTTTATGTCTGCGTATGCAAGC